CATCAACTGTCCCCGGAGGAGAATATGCAATTGGCGGAGTGTTGAATTACGCAAAGACTTAGACTAGTGGATAGAAGCTGGGATAGATAATGGCAGACGCCAAGGACACAAGAAGCAACATATCTGCGACATTGCAACAACCATTAAATTGCGACGCATCACATAATGAGACACAGAGCGCGGCTGAGTTGGGAGTCTCCGGAATGGTGGAAAATGCTGAAGCACTGCAATTTTTCCCCATTGACCACTAATTGGTGGCAGCGGAGGGCTTTTTATCTCACACTGCTCATTGTGAACCGCGCTCCATTGGCATCGTGATGCCTCTCTTTGACCACAATGTGTCGTCGCACAGGAGATTCCAATTCCGCCACAGAGGAGAAACCCACAAATTAACAATGGAGCCGCGATTCTCCAGATGTTGACATTCTCAAATTGCTCCATCTCTCTTTCTCCTCTTCGCGAATGCCAACAATTCAATTAAAATTGATTCAATTCGCACCTAGAAACACCACGAATATCATATGTGGCGGTGACATAACAATATTGAATAATATTAAATTTCAATTACAACTTTAGAGAGACAAAGACTGCACGATTGCAGAGACCACTTTCGATTCTTCTTTTATATTCTCTCCACAGCCATAAATTGACGAGTTATCGCTAAAATATCACAAAATACCGTCTCGTTTGTCGCTCCTTTTGCCTCTGTTTCAATTCCAATCTGACTAAGTTCTGTTTTCCCATCCAGAAATCTCTCAATATTTCAATTCGCCATCGCAAAATCTCTGCCTTGTCGCACGCAAGAAATCTCTTTTTTTTCTTATATATTTCTTACCACCACCACACAATGTATTCCAAGGCACTCGAGTGGGCGATTTAAAGCATTTCTTGTGTGGTGTGGATAAACAGCAAAAAAGCCAAGAGATTATTTAAATAAAACCAGCTTAACTTCGCTCAAGAAAACTCCAACCAGCGCGTCAAGAGAGTTCCTTTCTGTAAATGTCTTTGTGCAAAGTGCCAACGCAACTCAAGATCAAAGCTAAAAGGCACAGTTATTATCATAAAATTCTTAACCAGTCACAAGAGGGTTCTTTGGGACTTTAGACATCACTTGACATACTCTAAAGGCACTGAGAGTTTGAGTGGCATTTTCTATGATAATTGCCAATACTGATCGCCAAATATGATAGCGTTAGACGCGTTGTTGAGCAAAGCTTGAAACACACGCAAAAAAAAATCCATTTGCCAACAATCATTTCCACTTTAGTCAAAAGTAGATTTAGTACAGTCAAGGATGTCCCACAAGTTTCGGCAAAAACTCTAGACAAACCTTGAATAATCTTGCTATTCATCCTTTCCATCTTCGCTGTTGAATTCAGAGCATTTCTAACAGTTTTTCTTAGGTCAAAAATCTTGAGGATCATTTTAGCCAAGAGTGGGCGTATTTCTCAGCGAATGCTGATGAACTTGGTATCGATCAAATATCTAAAAAGCCCATTTCATCAGCAGAAACAGTTTTGTGAGGGCGTTTTGCTGATGAATTTTCATGATTGCGACATAATCGATACAAAGAATTCCATCACAATTGTCTCGTCGCTTGGGCAAGACGACTGCCTTGGTGGCAAATAATGCAGCCCAGAATTGGAATATTAATGAATTTTGCACTTCAATATCCGCCAAATGGAATTTATCTCATTTGCATCTCCTGAATTGCCGCGAAATCGTAAATCTTTTGGGATATTCAGGTGAAAAAGACAAACACATTGAAGCATTTTGTGTGGCAATTTTCTACCGAAAAGAGCAGAGAATTTGAATATTTTCAACAAAATGTGTTAATCAGCTTTTAGCCATGCATCTTTCTCGTGGGAATTATTGGTTATACACATCTTTTAAAGAGATTTTATACGACATCCAATTCACACAATTTCCAGACACTCAAGATTCGATTGCTTCCTTCTCTCTCTCTGAAGTTTTTAAAGCTCCAATCATGATAAATATCTGAGCTTGATGTTTAAGCTTAAACGTGCTAATTGAGTCATATAAATTCTGCGGAAAACTTTGTGCAATCAATGGCTGAGTTTCCTCAGAAAGTGATTCCTCCTGAGAAATCTGACACGCCAGATTTCCTCCTGAGTGACTCGACAAATTGAAATCCACTGGATGAACCAAGGGGGAGATAATACAGTCAGAAATGGTGTACAATCCAAAGGGAGTGAGAAAAAGTTATTTTACTGACAAATTATATCAATTCTTGGGATTTCTTTCGATTTTCACACAGAATAAATCATAGAAATCTTTTTTTCTAGGTTATGTAGCGATTCACGGACAGATTTGTGAAAAATTCGCATTCTAGCACATCAATTCTTATGTTAAAGTCAAAGAGATCGCAAGTCTTTGGCAGAATTAAGCATTTTCTGAATCTTTGATGCCAAGAAACACTGCAAATTGCATTGAACTCCAACATAACCTAAAAAATTGTCAGTTAGACTTTTAAAAAATGTTAATTCTGAGTCTTAATCCGCAGTTTTGAGTTCATTGGTAGATCATAGGATTTTGTAGGCTATTTTGGCTATTTTGTGATCAAAATAGCTTCCAAACAGAGTTTTAAAAGATCTCTTAGTTAAATTTTGAGGTTATGGTTGGAAAAGATGTTCAAAAATGTGTTTTGAAATGAATTTTTTGCAGAAATATCGAATGAAAACTCAAGAGATTCATTATAATTACAAAATTCACGTGGAAACAGTCTGAAAACTTTGAGTTCTAGAAGTGTCAGGACGAATTTGGAAGTGTTTGGAAGTTGTGTACAGATTTCTAGACATACTATCTCCCCCTTGGGATGGACATTGAAGTGTGTGCAGGAGAGCTTTACGCAAATGATCGCCATCAAATTGCAAAAGTCACATAATTGTGCCTCATGCATAAAAAGCTCTCTGGCGCATGTCGTATTGAATTAATTAGAGAACCACTGTTGAGTGGGGAAAATCATGCAGGCAGATTGGAGAGTGAGAGAGAAAGGAAATCCTGAAAATCTCGTTTTCGAAACCCCTATTGCGGGATCAACATTTAAAACGCATATTCGGCAAATATGATCTCAAGTTGATCTTTTCAAGCTTGTACGTGAATTCTTTCAATGGCCTTTTTTCACTTGCCTTTTCTCGCGCGGCTCTCCGCCATAAACAACGCGCCAGATTACATGGTTGTAACCTTGCAGTAAAAATTGCTGCTTTGGCTCAAAAGGCCCACGAGCTGAAAATTGTATAAGCGCAACTTTCACTTTTCATTCGATCATAATTTGACGAATTGCACCCCAAATAATATTTACGTTCAATCACATAATCTTCTCAAACGATCATAAATGCAACTTTGTTGTGCCTTTATTCTGTTTCTCAAGCTAATTGGGGAAGATTTTGTGAACAACGCCTTGAGTCGCCTTGAGTGCGAATCAGTCGGAGAGACACAAAGTGGGGGAACTTTTTGGTGAGTTCATCAACTTGCAGGGCAGCCAAAAATTTACAAAAATTTATGGGAAAACTCGAAAACTCAGTAAAAATTTGTTACAAAATCTATCTACTGAAGATCAGCAGACAATTCTCCGTGATTTCAAATTGTATAGCGAGTCTGTAGAATTCTTTGAACATCCCTGAGCTTTCAATTTGTTCGGTGAATATCGACGGGTTCCTTGAAAACTATCAAAAGTCGACTTTTGAGGGTCGATATTTGATAGAATTAGAGGAGAAATATTAGATCTACTCGATGGTTGCTCAAGCTGAATTGCAGGAATGGATAAAATTCTTGTTAGAATTAAACATCAAAAACCCAAAGAATACGCGGAATTTGTTATAAATATTCCGTTTTCCAGTCGGAATAAAAGATTTTGTACTAAAATCACATTTTCACGCCATTTTCCTTCTATTTTCACACATATACACAACCATTTAGAATAGTTTCAAGCCCCAGAATAAAAATTAAAGCGTTAAAAAGAATTTAGGAGTAAAAAGTTATTGAAAGAAAAGCAATTCCGAACATCAGATTGGGTTATTAGAGATAATTCTTGGAGAAATTGAGGGAAAATGCCAATTAAAAAAGGATAAAATGAAGGAAAATACACGAAAGTACTTAACCCTTAGAATAACCCTTGGATCTACTTGATATTTATATTAAAATTTCATTTATTTGCAAAATTAATCCAGAAATTGATATAAACTGATATTTTTCTTGTGCTTTTTTAGTTATTTTGCATCTTGTATTCCACTCTAAATCATTTACATTGATGGACATTTGTTAGCATAATCAAGGACATAAGTTTGTATGGTGAAAAATATCCTTGAAAATATCAAATGTGAAATAAATTTAGCGAAAAATACTGAATTTTTTAATAAAATCAATGAAATTACATGAAAATTCTGTCAAATTGTAAAGTCTATTTGATAAAAGTAAGTCACATAATCATTATTTGCAGAAAAATCTCATCATTTCAGTTAAAAAAAACTTGTATGTTACGATTAAAATGTACAGGAAAAATGCAAAAAGTCACTTTTCACAAACTGTTCAGGAAATAAGCACAAAGAAAACCATCAAAAACCGCATTTTTGTACTTAATATCGTGAGTTTTTCTATCAATTCTCAGGTTTTCAGTTAATATTTCAATAACAAACCAATGAAATCAACTGGAAGTTACCGAAAATAATTAGAATTGACAAATATTATCAATTTAATGAGAGATAAAATTGAGTTTAAGGGAAAAATAAGGGAAATTCCAAAGCGTTTTCAAATTGCTCTAACTGAAGAATGTCGATTTTGGCTTTTGCTTCTTTTCTTTGCACCCGTCGATATGAGAAATGCAAAGAAAAATTGTATTTTCACGTAGAAAAAGCACTTCAATTGGCGATAAACAGGAAGACAGGCGTGGGAGTGTCACAAATATTTTCAAGGAAAAAACATTACAAAATGAATGAGAAAATACAAAGTAAGGAGAGAAGTTTTGTCATTATATAACTCACCTTAATACAGCTGTTCTCCTACAAATGTGTCATTGATGAGCTCAAATGAAATCCGTACGTTGATCGCTGGCCTCTCGAAACTGCCTCAATATCTCTCTCTCACTCTTTCTTTTGGGTCTTGGAAACTCCTCCGTGATGATATTTGCCGAGGATGTTGTCTCACCACACAAGAAACATTCACGTGAAAAAATAAAAGCACCTCTCGAAACTAATTTCTCGTCACTGTGTGCAACGCATCGAGTAACAACACCTACAATGAAATTGAGAAATTGCTTCTTTCAGCCTCACTGTGGGTGAAATAGACGAAATTCATCGGTATTTCTCTCTAATGGGAAATTTCACAAAAATGCTTTGAGCTCACAAAAATTTTCTCTCTCTTTCCGCTCTTTCTGAGGCCCTTTTTGATCGTTACAAACGCATGAGAAGACAGAAAAAAATGTGTCTCTCTTGTGGAGATGAGAGAAGATTACACACAAGAGACACTTTAATTAACGTGAACACAGGTGAGATGGAGAAGAGGATGGAGCATTTCGGGTCTGCAGACGAACAGAGAGAGCGACAGAGAGAGAGAGAGAGATGAGCTACACGAAAAATTAACTATATGGCACATGAGACTTGCGTAATTGTGAATTCATCGCACTCCGAACAACTCTTTCTCTCTCTCTCTCTCTCAATTTAGATGAAAATTTCAGGTATTTGGCTAACAGATTGTGAAGCCGCGGATCAATGTAAAAATGCGAAATCCCACTCACATTTCAGCCTTCGACCGCGCGTATTTCGGCTGCGGAGCACAGTTTGGAACTGACGAAAAAAACACCACAAGCGCGCGATAGTCCAAGACAAGTCCAAGAAACCAGCCACAGACACTTAAAGCCCACGGAAAACCCTCTCACGCTCACTGTGAATGTCGACCGGCGGCGCAAACGTGCTTCCACATCGACGTGCTGCTCTCAACTGAGTCGCGGGATTTGATTTCGCGCCCGCGAAACACTCACGGACTGACGTCATGCTCAGGTGAAACGAATTTGTTGGATTACCTCTCTCTCAACGCTCTGGCGATCATTACATTTGGTGGAAGTCATCAAACAGACCACAAACGAATTGACAGTCTCGTCTCCGCGTTCTTCGCTCGCATTCTACCAAGAAAGAAAGAGAGAGAGAGAGAGAGAGAAGATTGAGATGAAGTCAGAACCACAGCATAAAATTCTCACAAATTATATTCACTCGCGCAGTGCCTGAAACTTGTCTTTAATGGCTTTTGCTGGCTTTTGCCAAAATAAAACCACCTCGTCGTCGTCGTGACATTTTGAGCTGCGAAGGTGTGTTGAAGAAAGAAAGGTTTTCGGTAAGTTTTTAGCATTGTTTTCTAATAACATTTGCAATGTTAATTCAAGCAAACTTTTTGCATTATGCATCTTTGGAATTAATTCACAAACTCAAGCCTAGGCTTTTTCCTATTCAGACTTTCTAGCATATATTTGGAAAACAAAAACAACTGCATCACATATTGGATCAGCGGCATTTCTATTTTGCTTCATAACAAAATCATTCACTCAAAATCAAGTCAGTTCAAGGGGAAGATATTGTAGTCTGAAGTAATGTACAGCTTGAAAAGAAGTGTCAAAATATTTCAAATATTTACACCGTCAAAGCTCCTTTTTCAACAAATTCAGGCATTTTCCAAGTTATAATGCTTACAAAAATCGATTTTATTGCTTTTTCTAGGTTATGTAATTGATTTAAGACAGATTTTAGTGATTAGGGGTAAATGGGGCAGCTTCAGATTTCTTAATTTTCTCAGTGATTTTCACATGAATAAATTCCTGGTCTTCACACAATGTTTGTAGTCCTTAAGGACTACAATTGACGAAAATTTGCACAGGATAGCCTTGACTGTTTAGATAAAATAAGTGAAAAATGAAAATCACTCACAAACTAGAATTTTGCTGCCGAATTGATTGCGTGTTTTCTCCATTAAAAAAGCCACAATTCGCGTGAAACACAATCAAAGGTTTTTGAGAATTAAGTAGAGATCATAAATATGCCCGAACTTTTCCTCCTTGGCACGGCCTTTTCAGTGGGTGGTGGAAAATGCACAAACACTGCACACGGGGCAGCTTCGGATCGCCACGGACTGACAACAGCGCGCTCTGACAGTCTGACGCAACATCACGGTCGAAATTTTCTTGTGGCAAATATTGAAGATTTTTCACAAAGTGCCGTTCTGTGCTGCATTGCTTCATCACGTTAAACGACTTCTTAGTGGAAAAGTGAGAAAATACACGCGAAAAACACTGATTTGCACTGATTTGATTTGTGGTGGCACTGAAGTTGCCACCACTCACGCATGGTGGCGTTGCGATACAGGAAAAATGACGGGCAACTTGCTTTTCGCTCAGACATTTTGACAGTCCGTGCAAGGGTCCAGAAAAGTCGCGAAAATATTACTTTAAAGGCGATTTTTAGGGAATTAAACAGTTTCAGTGTGTAGAATAGATATCAAAGTGATCATTTGCCCGCGATTCGACAATTCCACAATGGAATTTATGGTAAATATAAGTGAAAATCTGAAACTGCCCCAGAGCAATCCGAAACATCCCCGTGCGGGGCAGTTTCAGATAATTTACAATATTATTTTTAATCTCCTTTAGAGGAAAAAGGATCAGTTTTAATGCTCAATGAAAGGCATTTTCTGAAGCTCAATAGACGAGAGTTTATTTGAGCGTTGTGATAATTGCAATATATTCAGCCGATTTTTCAAGAAAAAATCCTAAAGTTGGAACAGCATTTTGAATCTGAAGCTGCCCCACTTACCCCTAAATTACCATCAAATTCATCAATTTTAGGATCAATCTGGAAATATTTCTTTTTCTCTTGCGTAAAGTTGGTCATTTTCTATCAAAACTTGATATTGTTTGAGAAAAACCATAAAAGTCAATCATAACCTAAAAAATGTCATTTCAAACTACAAAAATGTCTATTTTCTTAGGTTTTTAGGCGTTTTTGGCTTTAAAGTGGGAAAATCAACCTAATTATCTCGTCAAATTGATGAAATATTCACTATATTTATTTATTTTCACGTCTGAAAAGATTAAAATTAGTCCAAGAAGGGTTTCTAAGTCGTTTTCATAACCTCACAATTTGGTCAGAATTTTTCCAGATATTTTCTGAAAAAAAAACTAGAAAATTAAATCATAAAGAGTTGATTCAAGGCATATTATCTCCCCCTTTAGTCATTTGTGTCTCTGAAAATTCAAGTTTGTCGGAAATTTTCACAAAACATCTCTGAAACCTTTTGAACCGTACAATTCGCGCGCTTTGTTCTTCCAAAGCACGGAATCTTTGGCGCGCGCGCGCACAGAAAGTGATCTCGGTTCTCTCACGGATGCGTGTTGGTGGGTGATAAAATGCGTGGTTGAATACAGCCACGGCCATTAAAAAGCAATACGCCAACGAAGACGCCAATTTTGGCCGTCATCCCACCCGAAAAGTCTCCGCAAATTCTCTCTCTCTCTTGTGCCAAGAGAAATGGCAAAATGCGCTCCACACAAATTACCTCTGGCTTCTCGAGATGGTCAGAAACACACCACGCGAGAGCGAGAGATTTAGTGGAGAGAAAAGACAAGACAAAGTGCCTTCAAACTCCTCTGAAAATCCATGAATCTTAGCTTCTAGCGCACACAATTTCTTACACAGAAAATGCCTCTCAATCTCTATGAAGTGGATTTCTCTTGCGTCCCATTGCAGAATCTCTCTCTCTCTCTCTCTCTTGCTCTCCTCCGTGAATCTCTACAAACAGGTTTCCACCTGCCCCCTCGCCCACAACACCGCCATAGAACACTCACCTATCTCTGCAGATTGTCCGTCCTCTGGCTCTGCTCCGCGATCATTCGCCCGCCTGGCAGAATGCCGCAGCATCATCTTCATCTTCACTTTGCAGGGCCGATTCTTGTGGAATTGCCAGGGAAATTCACGCTTCTCGCGACTCACAATCCTGGCCAGAGGTTCTCAGCGCAAATTGACCGGAAGCACCATCATTTCCTGCTGCGAGAAATGATTATTAGCTCAATGATTCCTGGGAGGATTTCCAAATTCCCTCCAAAAGTCACTGCGTTTCTTGCCAATGAACTCTTTCTCTATCCCAAGGGGGAGATATTATGATCAGAAGTGGTGTACAGCTCTGTGGAAGTATTTGGAAGTGGAAGTGCTTGACCAATTCCAATGTGGTGTGTTTAAAAGTTACTTTTGGGATAAAAAGAATTGTTTTTTCACATCTTTCCAGGTTATGTTATGAATTTAAGACAAACTTTGCCACTAAAAACCCTTTAAAATCAACTCTTCTTGTGCCTAAGCAGATATGATTTGCTATTTACTGCTAACATACTAATGATATCTGATGAAGATCATAAGTTTTCAGTGTTAAACTGTGTTAAGAATGCTAAGATTGTTCATAACCTCTAAAGTGTTGTTTTAAGATATAAAATAGTCTATTTTAAGAAGTTTTTGATTGATTTTCTACTCTAAAATAGTTTTATATTCCCCAAATTTGCCTTTAAAACGTTCCAAAAAGGATTCTTTCAAGGATTCTTTTGGATATCTGAAGATAATTTTTAGGTTATATTCTAAAGTGGATCCAAAATAGCGATTTAAGATTGAATCACATCAAAATATTCTGTTTCTCTCTAGGTTTTCAAGATCATACAAGTAAAAAATGGCATCTTTTTGTGAGAAAGACTCCAAAATTTGAGGTTATGAGTCTTTAGGCTCTTGGAAAAATGTATGAAGATCCAAAAAAGGAGAAGAAAATAAGGAAAACGCATGTTCTAAGCACTGCTGAAGTGCCTGAAAGTGTCTGTGATTCTTCAGAGAAATTGTGGAAGTGTCAGGAAGTGGTGTACACTAATTGGCCATATTATCTCCCCCTTGGTGTATTCACTCTGAGCCCGACTGTAAGTTACCTGAAATCACAGACAGTTGAAGAAGCAACACAATCGTCACCATTGATATTGGAAATTTGGTTCAATGAACTGCACGAAAGATGAATACAAATCCAAATTTGATGGTTAATGACTTACTGCTGCGGCTGGTAATTCTTCCGGCCGTGCTCATGATGCTGCCACTAATGATCATGATCGTGTTGGATGATCTCTTCCACAATCTCTTCCTCACGCTCGCGATGCTGAGCGCGAGACGCGTTCGCGGACAAAGTTGAGCAAAAGCCTCCCGGCGAGCTCAAGGAGTGACAATGAGAAGGAAAGACAATTGAACAATGCGGAAACCACCGCGAAACTCACTTTTCCTCACGTGTGACAATCAAAATTATCTCCATCTTCGCCAGAGTCCGCATGAGCTTCCATTTCTGCTCCATCTCGTGCTCAGCATGCAATTGTGCGCGGCACAACAATCTTATGATCTGTCTGCGTACTTTTGCCAGCAAAATCTCACCTTCTGCACAAAAGTGTGGGATTTAAATAAATAATAATTGCCAGTGGAGAGTTTCACAAATAGTCACCGGTTTTATTTATTCAGCGTCCATTTATCAATTCCCGCCGCCAAGACACACGACAACATGTTGCGCCAGTCGCAACTCGAGAAATCCATAGAGTGCACTTTAGCGAAAATTCCCCGATAAATATATACATCAATCAAATATTGTGCAGAGAAGTGCATCATGATTGTGTGCCTTCGGCAAGCGAGAGCCTGCGAGCGCGATTAATGCACTTCAGCTCCATTAATTTCATCTCCCACTCTTCGCCGGTGATTCTCGAGGAATCACAACTAGAGAAATCCTGCCAAACTCTTGAGCTTCACAGGACATGCTGTAGCGAAAATTAGCTTAGGACACCTATGAAGGTTAGGACCAAGGGGGGGGGGGGGGGGGGGGATAATATGCCTTAAACCTGTACACCAAAAGTTCTAGAGCTTAAATTTGAAAGACTGTTTCCAAATTGAATGAATTTCTTAAGTTTCCATTTAGAATTCCTGTAAGAATCGACTTAAAAACACATTTTGGGCCTCTTTTCCGACCATAACCTCAAAAATATTACAAAGATATATTCAAAAACTCCGTTTTGAAGCATTCTAGATCACAAAATATTCGAAAATATTAGAAAGATTTGCAAATGAGCATTTTTCATTTCCACATGAATATTTTTTAGGTTTTCTTGGCGTCAAAGGTTCAGAAAAGGACTTTTAATTACTTGCAAATGCTTAATTCTGCCAAAGACTCGTGATCTTTCGGACTAGAGCGTAAGAATTGATCTAAAATCTGTCCGTAATTCGTTACATAACCTAGAAAAAATTCTTTTACTATTGATTTTGCTGGAAAATCGAAGGAAATCCAAAGAATCAAGATAGTGTGGCGGTAAAATGAGGTCTCATAAAAGGAATATTCTAAGCTTCTAGTTAAATCTTCGCTTCTTTGAGTGTCTTAGAGAACACTTTAGTGATCTTGGTTTTGTGTAAAGTTCGTATTATGCATTGATCAATGGAATTTAATATGGATTGAACTCTCACAAACTGCCGTGATCTCCTGAGAATCCCAGTTAGCGCATCATAATGTCTAACCAGCATTGACCGCAGTGATCTTTTCTCTGCTTATCTCCAATCCCAAGACGGATTTTCCGACAGCCATAAAATTGCCGTCCGCCAGCATCTTGCAATCACAATTGCTCGCATTTTCCGTCCCGAGCGTCTTGAGCGTGAAACTCAATCCGCAGCGCGAGTACCATTTTATTGACACCCACACATCGCGCTATCTCCATCGCCACCGCATTGTCGCCAAGAATCTGGCGAGTCTCCTTCGCTGCGCCTCTCGCGAGCAAATCAACTGATCAATTGCCGTGCACCTTCATGGCCACATGAAGAATGGTACAATTTCAGTGCGGTTGGCATTGAAAAGGAGGTAAATGTGTGGCCAGAGAACACATTATTGAGCGCTGCCAAGTCGCAACTATTCACGCTCGACGCCATGCAATTTTTCCCCCCAATTGAACAACAACCGAAAAATTCAAATAACACCATTGAAAACGTCGTCATTTCGCAATTGTAAATACATATTCTCTGCAATCTCACACACTTTTCTTCAAGTGTCTTAACGATATGTGCAAAATGCCCAGAAGTGAGAGAAGCAGAAAAAAAGCTCTCAAGGCTCAAGACTTGCAGTGATGCTTTTGTACTTCCTTGTATGCAAAAGTCGAGAGAAAATATGTTTTCTTCTCATTACCAGTTAATTGAGAGATCACAATGAACTGCAAATGACTTTTTCTCTTTATGTAGTATCATAAAGAATATATCTTTACGCCTTTTGCATGACTGAAAAATTGTTATTTGCATAGTCATAAATAATTTGAATTACACTTTAGACTAGACTTTGGGACGTAAACCTTCATTTTGAAGTAATTTTCTTCTAAATTTTAAATAGCAAAACGACGGGAAATTTTGAAATTTGTATTTTAATAAGCAGAAGAAGAAATTCTTTTTGTTCAGAAGATTGAGTGGAGAAAATTTCATGCTTTATGCCGTTAAACTATAAAAAGTTGACTAATATTCGTGTATTCCGAATATTTTTTCTGAGAAAATCATCTCAAATTGCAGTGAAACGCATAAAATGCCTCTTTAATAAACGTTCCTAACATAATTTTAGTCTTTCAATGAATTTTCATTAATATTTCTCGAGTTTTAGAATTATTTTACTAGAAGATTTTTAAGAAAAGTTCATGTAAAATATGAAAAGATGATTTTATAGAAATCATTTGAATAAAATGTGCTCAAAAACTATTAAAAATTTGACTTTGAAAAATAATATTATAAGTTTTTCTATTAACCTTGCTATATTTTAGTCAAAAATTTCAATAAATACCAACAAAACCACTTGAAACATTCACAAAATCATTCAAATAAAGAGCAATATTAGCATTCTCTATTGAATCATCCGTCGAAATAGAAGAACGAAGTGTTGATGACTTCTAATGCTTCTAATAAACTAAAAAGTAATAGTAAGCTTGGCATCTTATGTAGTTTTTTATTTTGTTGCTGATAGAATGTAAAATATCCTGTTCTCGGAAGACTCATTATAATTCTTCCTGGAAGCGCATTGCTTGTTGTCCGAAGAGATTACACTGCAAACCTCTTAATCAGCAGTATATCTTAAGACCACTGAAATGCCACTCATAAATAACGCGAAATTAAAAGAAAATTGCTCACTGGTGAAAGAAACCACATTAATAACGAGATTCGCGGCATGAATTTTTCTTCTTCTTTTTTTGAAGAGTGATAAAAAGACAATCAGTGCAAATTTATTGCGCGCCATTCGCTCACCGAAACGCAACAACAAATGGCACAAAATATGATCACGTATTTTTCGCGATGTGCAGAAAGAATGGCGGAGAATCCGCGGCCGCAGCTTCCTGAGCAAATTGCTGGTGGTCTCCAGGAAGAAACAATGGACATCAATGCTCAAGTGCACGAGAAACCCGTTATTCGCATCATTCTCGTTTTTTCCCTATGCGATTTCCTCATGCACAGCATAAATTTGCCCTCTTCGCCGACAAATAGCTTTGCATTAAAATTATGCATCACTTTATGCAATAGATCATTTAGTCGTTTTTCGCGCTTATTATCTCTCTCTCGAACCGGAGCTGATTTCACCGAAGAGAAGATTTAGCGAGAAAACTGCTAGAAAGCAAGTGTCTTTGCTAAACACTGTTAAGAATTGAAGAGATTTCACACGTTTTATTCCATTGTGAGAAGCGATAAATGAATGATAATATTCCTTTCTTAACAAGAGGTTGTTAATGTTGGTTTTGACTGCCACAGCATCTTGTATCTTGACTGCATCTCCGTGCATCGCGATGCAATTAATTCGGAAATCTCCAGATTGATTCCGATTCGTCGTATAAAATATTTCGTGATTCAAAAAGGACGTAAATAAATGAGAAAGAAAAGGAGTACAGAAAAAGGCTTTCTTTATATCAATCAAATCATTTTTTCTATGCCTAAATTAATCCATTTTTCCAATAGAATCCTTTCTTAACATTCTCTTTAACGCTTCTTAGGATGGATATTAGTTCATCCTTGGGCTTAAAACTTCTCCTAAGAACTCTTTCTACAGCCTAAAATGTTATTTTTCACCTTGTTTTCTACTTTACTCACTTGGAAAGCCTATTAATATCGCATTTTTGCGTCCTTTTTCTTTCCTTTTCACAACATTTGCACAAAGAGAGGAATTTGAGCGCGAAAATAAAGCTGTTCAGCTTTCTCAGCTGATCAAGTTAGAAACTATCTGCAATTAGAGAATAATCAGAATTTCTACTAGCCATTTCTACTAGACAACAGAATATCGAATTAGGAATAAAAGTAATATTAAAGTTCAAATCAAAGAACTTAAAACAGCCCGAAATATGATGAATATTAACCAAAGAAAGGCTTTTTAAATTAAAATTCGACATTAAAACTCTCATTTTTCACAGGAAAAACATTCTAAGCTCATCATAATTATTAATTTGGGATAAACATTGATGAATTGACACTTAATTCAGCTCCTAATTAAAGATTTTCGGTTTCATTTCCTTGTCGGCATGAAATTCTGAGGCATTTGCACGGAATTCAAGTTCTTTATGGTTTCGTGTGTTGCTTTAAAGAAAATCTAAACCAATTTTGCAAATATTCACAACTGCATCTGCGACATTAGCAATTCAGCAATTCAGCATTCTTCTCGACGATCTGCGAAATACACTTCGACGGGTGAATCGAAAACTATGAAAAGTCGATTTATCATAGTTTTCGTCTTATGTATTTTTGAAAAGCTTTTTATTTGTTCTTTCTGTATAAAAAATTTTGAGATTTGTATCTTATGAGAAAATAACAAAAAATCTTATTTATCTAAAAAGCACAAATGAAAAAAAATTGTCATGTTTTGCGAATGAAAAGTCAAATTTTCATTGTTACGCTGAAGAATTTTCCCATAAGAAAAATGTCTCAAAAATTGCAGTCAAATGCATAAAACGCCTTTTCAGAAAATATTCGTAGATTTTCAGAACTATTCTAAAATGTTTTTTAGACTTTAAATGAATATTTTTCATATCTTTTAAATTTTTTCACTTGAAAAAATTAGGGAAAAGTTCAAGTCAAGTATGAAAAATTGATTTTTTTAGTACTATTTTCGATAAAATCGACTCGAAGACTAATAAAAAGAGACTTTGAAAAATAAAAAATTTCAGATTTTCCATTAATTTCACGATATTTTAGTAAAAAATTCCAATAAATACTGATAAAATAAACTAAAATATTAGAAAATAAAAAATACTTTGCAATATTTACACTTTAACGGACGATTTGAAGGCTTTTTAAGATAAATTTGGTAAATTTTGCAGCGATATTGAAGCGAAATCTTGAAAATGCTTTGCTGAGAAATTGTATTTTTGGCTTTTCATAGTTTTCGATTCACCCGTCGACTTTGATAGAGATTTTGTGGGGGAACAGAAAAGTGTGTCTTGGCTAAGGGAATAAATTGTGCCAATTTGAGAATATTCTCTTTATTGATCCAAAAGAATCTTTTATATCTTTGTAATGTTTCATGTCTCCGGAGAGAAAGATCTTCCCTTTCTCTCTCTCTCTCTCTCTTTCCTCCACACATGTGATATAATGCAAACAGCAAGACAGGAATTTCCTTCTTTTTTTTTTGTAACAAAATATACAAATCCTTTTTTCTTTGCCTCCGCCCAGGATAGAAATGCCTCCCAATAAATGTCCTTCCAATCTTTTGATCAATTGTGAAATTTCTGGATGTGCCTCGCGAGTGAGTGTGGACTCTTGAAGATATTGAAGCAGAAATGGCACACGAGTTTCATCATTGCATTGACACTATCAACAACACCCGCCATCGTCGCTCCTCCATTGAGCGGAAAAGCCGCGGCGTGGAAAGGCTGGAAGCTTGTCACAGGCTGAGATCTTGTGGGTGATATTTGAGGAGTCTCGCACTTAATCTAAACATCATTTTTTCGTCACATAATTCATCATCAATATTGGTTGTATTTGATGCGAAATCAGTGATATTTGTTTGTTTTTTTTAGTTGTTTCGTGGGAAGAGAAAAGACATTTCGTCAGTAAAATATTTTCACTTTTCTTCACTATATCACCTGCATATCGAGTTCCAATTGAGCCTTGCGCTCCACCTGTTTTCTCACATCCTCAGACATGCTTAGCATCTCCGACACGGACAGCACACGCTTATTGCCAGCTTGATCGCCCGCCGATCCGCTCGCCATGGCGGCGAAGTGCTGCACAAAGTTCTGGCCAGCATCGCTCATGGCACTCTTGCTCTTCATCTGCTCCAGCAGCATGAGGTCCATCTTGCTGCGCTTCACCGCATTCTTCACGATCGACAGCCCATGGACACTCCTCAGGTGCTCATTGAGTGTGTCAGAGTCGCCAAATGACTCATCGCAGCTCTCAAAGTAGCAACTGTGCTTCCCTGATGCTGCCGATCTACAATAGGACGACATTTTCAGCCTTCGAACGAGAGGCGAGAACATTGAATGTCTCAACATCAACTCTTTCTCATTCACATTTTGCTAATTTAGCATCGCAAAAGCTCAAGCATATCAAGCAGAAGAAGAGTAGAAAGAACCGATTTTTGGATCAATTCCCACTCAAACTGGGGAAAGTTAGAGATGTGTGTTAAACCCAAGCGGCCAATCACTCGCCAGTTGAGATCATTAACATTGTGATTATTGAATAATTTCTTTTGAATATTTGTGATTAATTTTACACAAAAATCCTGAATATTTTTTGATTATTTTCTGAATATTTAATCAAAATTTGAATATAATTTAATGATTGTTAAAATTCGGAATATTCTAATTCATTTATTAAAAATAGTCTTTTATATTATTATTTTATTCAATTTTTTTTTTAATAATTTTGTAATTTTACTTGGAAAAATAATCATTTTTCGATTATATTTAATTAAGAATATGCTTATTTTTCAATTTTGACTAGGGAAAATAAATATTTTTTTATTAAATCAAAATTTGATTTTTTTTTTAATTTTACTTGGGAAAAAAATATTTTTTTTTTAATTCAATTCAAAATTTGATTTTTTTTCTTATAATTTTGTAATTTTACTTTGGAAAATAATTATTTTTTGATTGAATTTCATTTAGAATTTGAATATTTTTCAATTTTACTTGGGAAAATAATCATTTTTTTTTAATCATTTTATTAGAAAACATTAAGTTTCCTCAAAAATCGCCTTGTGATTTGTCCCTTTGAGTTAAACCAATTTGTACCGTCTAAATGCGAAATATTAACCCAAATTAATGCATTTTCTACAACAAATCAATCAGAAATTCATGACAAATATTAAAAAATCCTTCAACAATTCTGTATTTCCCATAAATCAAGGCAATTTTACGGGTCGTTGCAACTTTACACTTTTCACAGCTTATATTGGGGGCCGTTTGGCGGCGCTAGTGTAAAGCACGAATGAAATACGAACGCGAAGACGTTTATTTAATACAAATTTCAGTTATAAAACCAAAATTTCTTTCCGGACACTTTAAAATTGCTGGTGTAAAATAGTTTTAAGGGTAAAATATTCCAATTTGAGCCTAGTTTTGTGGCCATTTTTCTCCAATTAGAATCATAAATTACTTCCAATTTAAATGTTATCGAAATGCAACTGAATTATCCTGAAAAGAATCGAAAGACGTCCGGAAATGTGCCCAAATGGCAATTAAAATCCTTTAAAAATGTGTTTATTTACATAAAAACACAATAATTGTTTCTATTTTTGGTATTTTCGTGGTTTTCACGTAAATTTTTCGACTTTCATAATCATACTTTTGACAGCTTATTTAAAATATTATGAAAATAACGTTGCAACGACTCGTTAGTATGATTTCGTTACAGAAATGTCTTGCATAGATTAATCAATCTGTGATTCTGGCTCTAATTTCCCAGTGCGAACATGAAAAATATTCGCAATAAATTCCTTTTATTACGAATTTACTAATTATTAACTCGTATTTTAGCAATTCTGTTTTAAAAACTGCTTTAGCGGGTATTAGAGGGCTGTTTTTCCTTATTCAATTCGAATATTAAACATTTTCTTCACTGAATTTCAACATTTCTCAGTTTTAGTGAGAATCAACTCAATATATCTCTCTGGAAAATGCTAGTTTATCGTGCGCAATGCAATTTTGCGGGAAAAATGTCTGTTGAAATCTCACCTCTTCACAGATATTCGCTTCGGTTGGTGCGCCATGGAATGATGGGCTTGCATGTGTCGAGTCAAGTGATGTTTGACCGTGAAACCTTCGCTGCATCCGTCAACTGGACACGCCAAATATCGCCCATCGATGTGACGCTGAATGTGCTTCTTCAGCAGCGGCTCCTGGTTGAATGACGAACTGCACATTGTGCACTTGTATCGGAACTCCTCGTGCATCTTCATGTGATGCTCCAGATGGACAAATTGCACAAATTTCTCCTCGCATCGCGCACAAGCATAGGGAAATTCCATGCCGTGCGTCCGGAGGTGTTGCTGAAGGTGGGATTGCTGCTTGAACGTCTTCTCCGGACACTGTGGACACATGAAGCCACGTATGCCGGTGTGCAGAGCCAGATGCTGATTCAACTGGCTCACCTGGATGAATCGCCTGGGACACTGATTGCACACATATTGCTGAATCTTGTGATGCGTCTTCATGTGATTGTTGAGATTCGTCACTTGGGCGAAGGATCGCCCACAATCAGGCTCAATGCACACAAACGGTCGCTCGCCAGTGTGAAGACGTCGGTGGTTGTTCAGATTTGTCACCTATGCGAAATAGTCATCATTTCACACATCTTCTTAAAGCGATTACAGACTTGCTGATGATCCACGAATCGGCGCGAACTCGGATCAATCCTTCGTGGATGAGCTTTGAGTGTTTAAAGGTCGGATCAGCGATAAGCCGTGGCTGAACTGGCGCTAAACACACTCAGGAGTTATTCTTCTTTGTCGACACTAGCGACAATTGATTTATTTATTTGTTTATTTTATCAAAAATCGTGAAATTTCCGTTGAAATTGCGAAAATTGATGATTCGCAGAAGAATTTAATGATTTTATGGTGAAAACACAGCATTTGTAATTTGTAATTTGTCCACGATCATCTCTTTCTTCCCCACGCGTATCGTGTATTTTTCTTCCTACTCGCACAGTGGCTGTCTCGACATGTCAGAGTCAGACGCTGACAGAGTAGGAAGGAAAATACACGAAACGCGAGGGGAAGAAAGAGATGATCGTGGACAAATTACAAATTACAAATGCTGGTGTTTTCACCATAATAATCCAGGAAATCATTTGTAAGAAATCCGCCATTTTGCGCCTTTTCTGAGTCGCGCAATGTTTCGGCGCATTTTCGCACGAGCGCGCTGCCGTCGCGAAGCCCTGAAAAATCGGCTGAACCTTCGATATATCGAGGGATTATTCGCGTTTTCTCCTGGCTAAGCGAACTGTCAGTCACTCGCGCTCTCGCTTATCCTCCCGTGGATCATCAGCAAGTCTGTAATCGCTTTTATGCTGCAGCATTTCTTCCCAATCACAACATAAAATCAATCTATCTAGAGTCTAATAATTGTGACACTCACTTGAGTGAAAGCTTTCCCACAGTCAATGCAAACGTATGGCCTCTCATTTGTATGAATTCTCTCGTGATTGCGCAAATTAGCAGCTTGAGTGAATCCTGTGCATAGAATTATTGAACAGCAATTAAGTACAGAAAAACAGGCAACAAAAAGTCCCGCCTTTGCGAGTCTTCTTCTAGTTTAGATGCTGAAGATGAAGAACAGGTTTCTTTCCACACAAGAAAGCGCTGTTCAAGTGTAATAAAAGCAAAAACAGCACGCATTTTTTGCAATGTGTTCTAAAAAAGAGACAAGGAAATACTTCTCACCTTTCTGGCAATATGAACACACATATTTCTTCTCGGCTGAATGATTCCTTATGTGATTGAGAAGTGAGGATTTCCTCCCGAACGTCTTGTTGCACAGCGGACAAGAGCCTTCTTCACCGAAAAGCAGTTCATTCTGCAAAGTCAGAAGACAATTAATAATTTCACATTTCGATTTCCACAAAATGCAATTGACTCACGTCGATATTCTGAATTGTCTGCTCCAAATCGAACGGAAGCTGCAAGAAAACAACAGTTTTTTCCTCAATTAATTACTCAGTGAGCACAAAATGCTAAGATCTCAAAGTTGAGATTTATTTAGCTAATTTCATTGCTTTTTTCTGCTAAGTTCTTAGCCAGGAAAACAGTGTTTTCCTCGGTTTTTCGCGGACAAAAGCGCAGGTAAATTTCATTTATCATATTAAGAATATGAAGAGGAAAGAGTGGAATGGATGAAATTCTTGACAGAAAAAAACATAAAAAACTGAAGGAATTCGCAGAATTTGTTGTAAATTTTCCGTTTTCCTGTCAGAATAAAAGTTTTTTTTACTAAAATCGCATTTTCGCGCCATTTTCCTTCAATTTTCACACATTTCTCTTTGGTTTCCTAAAAACTTTCAAAGTTTTTATAGCATTTACAACATTTGGAATAATTTCAAGCCCCCAAAATGAAGATTAAAGCTTTAAAAAGAATTTAACGAATAAAAATTTAGTGAAAGAAAAGCATTTCCGGCCATCAAATTGCGTTTTTAGAGACAATTCTTGAAGAAATTGAGGAAAAATTGCTGATAAAAAGCTATAAAATGAAGGAAAATGCTGGAAAAAGGCAAGAAAAGTAGCGAAAAAAACGAATTGAAGGAGAATCGAAGCCGCGACACTTCAAAATCTTGTCCTAAATTCTCTAATGTGGAAGATTTTCGCTGGAATTTGTGCAAAAATCTTTCTCTCTAAGACGATTTCGCAGACACAATTTCAAATAAGTCTCAAAGGGAAAGAATATTCCGAAGAATGGATGGAATGGATTGGAATAGATCGAATGGAAAGGAATGGAAATTTGAAGAATGGAAACCACTTTTCACCCACTTGAGCAACCTTTGGCGATTCCACATTGTGTAAAAGCAGAAAAAATGGAGAATAACTTTTGGTGCTTTGCCCAGGCTCAATTCTAAAGATTCTTACCCAAATATTTTGGATCTTTATATTAATATCTTCTATTAATTGCTAAGAAAATTGTTAAAAAATTAGCTAATTTGTTTGAAATTGCTGTGTTTGTAACGCTTTTGAGTTTCTTCCATCGCTCAATACTTCGCTTTAGCACTTTTCAGCTGAATTTGCTGCTTATTTTTTAGCTTTTCCGTCTCGCCGGGAAACTCCTCTCGTGAGATTTATAATTGCGCGAAATGAGATGCATTTTCCCGCCAAAATTTCCCCTCTTCAACAGGCAAACGCGATGTGCACAAATATAAAATGTCATTAGCATTGTTTTGCGGCCAGAGACCGCTTCGCGCTGCCCAGAGCAAAATGCACAAGCAACTAATGTAGCGAGACAAAGTGAGAGAGTTTATAAATATTCCCTCGCGAAGGGAAGAATTTCTATCGTCGTCTCTGCATTTCATCTCTCCAGCGCTTCTTCTCTAGTTTGTCGTTTTTGCTGGCGAAACCATGGCGCAAAGAGATGCACCAACAGCAACAGCAAAGAGGCCGAGAAGCGCGCTTCATTGTGCCGAGAGAGAATTGCAATTGCATTCCGCAGAGGGCAAAATAGGCGACTTACATTTTCGTGCTTTTTGGGCGTGTGGAGAATCTGCGACTGCTGCATTTCCTGCAATGGCCAGAGAGAGAGAGATTGTTCATGAGGGGATCTTGGGGGCAAATCCGGGAGTCTCACTCACAGTCACTGCGCTCATGTCTGGCGGCGGATGTGGCGCTGTGGGCGCCGCGGCGGGTGTGAGATGTGAGATTCCTGGTGGAACGCTTCTCGGCTGCGTCGTAGCACTCGGGAGCCCCTTCACGGCCAACTGCTCGGAACACTTAAGACACGACGGAATGGGATAGCCCGGAACTTGGAACAATTGCTGCAAGAGGCACAGAAAAGCACAGAAATCACAGGAAAATGCCGCTTTTCCGGGGGATTCGGCAGTGATCTAACGCCGCGGAGAAAATGTCTGGAGGAATCGTCGATAGAATCAATTCTCTCCGTCTTTCTTCAGCGCACTTCTGTATCGAGAGAGACATCACAAAGCGAAGCTCTTACAGCACTTTTTTTTTGTTTGTATTATTATTGCGCTCCTTCTTCGTCGTTTTTCTTTCTAGAGAAGAAGTGTTGTTTTTTTTTTTGTGGGTCTCGGGCCTCTTTTTTCCCTCTCCTTCTCACTCTCTCTCACTCTCTGCGGCCTCACTGTGTTGTATTATTTTTGTCTCCCCACCCCGCGGCGCGCAGCGCAAGGAGAGCAAAAAGAAGAAGACATCGGCGAAGCTTGGGTAGAAGAGAGGAGAAAAGAAAACAAGCCGAAGACGGAGAGAAAAAAGCGCCCAACATGTCCGTGGAAGGAAAAGGACAAGGGAGAGCAAAAAATCAATATCTCGCCAAGGAGATGCATCGTTACCTCGGACTGTTGGAAGCAGACACCGCACAGATTGTCCATGATCCACACTGCATCTGTCCTTTTGTTTATTTTCCGCACATTTTTCACGCGTTCATTTATATTTCACCCAGAGCACACTTCCATACACAAATCGCGCACACACCGTGAAAAAATTATCAAAGTGTCAAACTGGCCGCTGCACCTCCTCATCATCCCGCGCGCCATCTCGCCACCAGCACGTCACCCACGCGCGCGGGCGCGAAGACTTCCCGCCAGATCTCGCGGAGCGCGCCAAACGCGACGCACAGAGATTTTCTCTCGCCACTCTCGCGTTGCGCTCGGTGAAAGAGCTGTGAACGCGGTAAGCTGCGTGGCCCTATGACACCACAGATTCTCTAAGTAGCCTTCAAGGTCTATTTCATTAGCACCCACACCAAAAATGCCACTTCAATCACCTCAATTCAGGTTCTATTAGTGGAGATGAGTTCAAAGCCACTGCTTTCCAGGGATTTTTTTTAGTTATAACAAGGGGGAAATAATACTGTCAAATACGGCTTTGACAGTGCTTAAAACATGCGTTCTCCTTATTTTCTTCTCCCTTTCCGGTACTTTATTGTTACGGCTTGTGGCTCACCTGTAACAAGGATAATCTCAATCCCAGCCTTGTAGCCGAGAGCCTGAGATCCCGAAGATAACGAAGGGGTTGAGGAGGATGATGATGAGAGATGGCACAGTGACTAATAACTATTAATTCAATATTTATTGCTTGATTAAATATAAGTGTATTAACTATTCGGTGGCTTTCTCAGAAATGAGTGGAATTTTCCAAGAAGGGATGCCAGATGGGCATTCTCGTTGCGTTTCTTACGCCATTTATGGGCTGGTACCCAACATTTATAGATTTTTTCAACCACCTAAAGTATCATAACCTCAAATTTAGGAGTCTTTGACCTAAAAAAAACGCAATCTTTTACTTGTGTAACTCAGAAAACTTACAGAAAAACCGTATATTCAAGAAATATTTGAAGTTTACAGTGGATATTTTGATACGATTCAATTTTTAATCACTGTTTTCGATTCCCTTTGCAACATAACCTAGAAATAACATTCAGATATCGAGAAGAATCCTGTGAAATAAGCTTATTAGAGTCTTTTAAATACAAATCTGAGGAATATTACTCTTATTTACACCAACAATAAGCACAAATTTGCTATTTTAGAGTAGATATTCAATCAATCAGCTCGTAAAGAAACCATATTTTAGAGGTTATGGTCAATCTTAGTGCGATTAACACTTTTTAACCCTGAATACTTGTGATCTCCATCAAGTTTCATTACTATTGTGCCAATAAATTGTGAATTATACCAGTTTAGACGCGAAAATTAATGATTTTTGAGGTTATTTAGTGACAAAGTTTGTCTTAAATTCATCACATAACCTAGAAAGATGTAGAAAACAATTCTTTTTCTCCAAGTATTGCGTTAATTTCTTCTGAAAATATTGAAATACTTTCACTTCCAAATACTTCCACAACTGTACACCACTTCTGACCCTAATATCTCCCCCTTGAGTTAGAGTGTCTTCGTCAGAAGATGTCCTATGAGAATATAGTGCAAGAAAACTATCGATTCGATCGCTTGATTCACTGCTCGTGGGCTCGAGGCAAGAAATGGAATGAAAGCATGGCAATATCAGTGGCCAAAACAGCCTCTGGCGCGGCGAGATCGCGGCTCTCGTCAGTGGCCACGATGAGGAAACCAAGTGAGAGGCCTTACCCACTGCGTTGCTCAACTCCCGCCAACCTGCACCTCTCGCGCGCGCGGATCACATTCTAATCGCGGCTCGGCGGCGGATCATTCGCGCGATTGCAGAGAGTATTTTTTCAGTTGTCTCTCGGCCGCATTCTCAAGCACATCGCGTGCGCCTCTTGCTTGCACAACCGATCGCGCGAAATTGATTTACCATTCGAGCCACTTGTGTGACCCACAAAATCCCTGTGCAAAAATACAGTGACACACAATGCAGACGTTTCTCAATGGATACAGTCCTGGTGACGGTTGGTGTTGTTTTCTGCTCGCAAGATCAGACTTTATCAGCACGCTCAGTTGGAGATCGAGAAAATGCTTCTCTTTCTCCGTTGTTTCTCAAGATTCCCCCGGACTTTTGTCACTTGGGCGATGTGTTGAGGGGCACAATAAAAAATGAGTGAAATCTCGGAGATATTGGAATCGAGTGAGGAGGAAAGAAGACAAGAGATGTGGCAGTATTTAGTGATTTTTGTACTTTCACTTTTTCACTCGCTTTTTTTCGAACTCCTCTGACTTCATGTCACGCGCCGAAAATCAACTTTTCGAGTGCAAAAATCTTTTTTTTTGGAGAATATTTTGACAATCGCGACGCGTTTTTTGTGTGTGTGTGAAAATGAGCAATATTTAATTAGCGTCAAGATGATTTTTCCACACTTTCGAGTTATTCACACGTTCAGTTACAGTCAATATGTGCTCTTGAAAGTTTATACACGGAAAAAAAGCACTCATTTGACTTGATAATATTTCCTGCGAGCGCGCGCAGATATACAATAGAATAAAATTCCATATTTTATTTCAAAGTCACCTCCAAATCTATCTGCAATATAACTCGCCGATAGGGATTGAAATGTGCGTAAGCACAGAAGCTCATTTGGCCTATTTTTAGCGACAAATAAACAGATCGCGATCTTTCTTTATTCCCAAAGCAATTTGCACATGTTTTGCATCGTTTAACTCTCAAGCTCTACACTGTAATGATCTTGTGGACATAGTTTTCTGCACAGTAACTGCATTATTATTATTATTTGCTTGCTAAATGCATTTGCCAGTGACAATTTCCACTTAAACACTTCCCACAAGACGGACGTGAATTCTCGAGAGAGAAGCAAAAAAAAACCACTCAATTGACACGCTTTAAACTTTCCCAAAATTCTTTTTATTTCTCTTCACCTCTTCAGCATCTGAGAGCCAATCAGACGCGCATCAGTACCTCAGCAGACTTCTGAAGGATGGAGCGAAGAAAGAAGTGGACATCGATGTGAATTCGTATGAAATCAAATTGCCCTCCTTCTACGATAAAGTCAAGTATGAGAGGTCAGTAAACTCAAAATTCGCAATTACTCTCAAATCGCTCTTCGCTGCACTTTTCTTCACGCTGTTTTGCCTCTGGCCGAGCACACAACAGTGTGTTTCTTTGTATACAAAACACAAAGCGTCGTACGCAAAAAAGCGTATAATTGTCGTCTAAGAAGAAATCACGAGAGTTTCTTCTGTGCTTGATCGCAAGTGGTGACGATTTGATCGCTGAACCGCGCGCGTCAGGTCATCGCGGTAGAGGAAGAAAGGTTGCCGGCCAGCTCGTGTCTTTCGTAAATGTGAAACCAAAACGTGCAAGATGCAATTTGAATACATTTCTTCTTCTTTTATTTTGGGGAATTCCCGAAAAGGCCCACGTGCAGAGCTCTTTCTCTCTCTCTCTCTCTTCCAATGGAGCTTTTTTTGGATTGATGGAAAAGAGATTTCTCTAAGAATTGAACACGAGTTAACAGTTTTCTTTTTTTTTGAATATCTGTGTTAGATCAAATATTAATTGATTGGCCTTTAATTGGAATCTTTTCACGGGTTTTCCCATGCAATTTTGCTCCCAATTCACAGTTTTCTCTTATCAACCGAAGAAAAATGATAGATTTTGACAAGAGTTGGCTCAAGTTGTGCAAAAGTGGATTCAAAATTCATTCCATTCATTCCCTGAAATATTCTTCGAAATAATCACAAAATATTCCCTCCATTCGTAATTCGAACTTGTGTTTTCGAAATTGTCCAGACTAAAAGACTTCCATGAGTGTCGCGGGTTCAATTCTCTTCCAATTGCGTTTTTTTCACAACTCTTTTACACTTTTCTTTCCTTTTTCGAGTATTTTCCAGCATTTTTCCCCTCAATCTTCGCCTAAAACACTTTCTAACACTAAATATAATTGCCTTTTTCTCACTAAGTTTTTCCTCTAACAATCTTTTTAATGCTTTAATGTTAATCTTCGACCTAAAAGTTCTCCTAAGAATTCTTTTTAAAGCCTAAAATGTAATTTATCACCTTGTTTTACACAAAATTCGTATGGAAAGCTGTAGATATTGCATTTTCGCATCTTTTTCCTTTACACATTTGTGTTCAAGAGTTCGAGTCTAGCTTGCGGCAAGTTTTTTCACATATTATCTTGTTTTGGACTTTTTTCTATTCACAATTTAACCAATGCGTTAATGCGTAAGATTTAAACAGCTCCCAATAAATAATTATACGTCACAAACATCAACAGTCAGACGTCGATAGACGCAATCGACGCTCACAAAAGCATGTTATTATGAGCGAATAATGAATATATTCTATATATTCTACCTTAAATGATAATGTAAATGCTTTAATTTTGGCTTCACAGCATGTCTTTCGAGATTTAAAATTGGAAAACTTAATGAATCCATTCCGGATATTCTTTATTATTCCAGCTGGAATGATTTGTTCATTCCTCACTTGAGCAATCCTCAGATTTTTGATTAAATTGCATCCGCCATGATAACGATGATTTGCGAGAAATTTCACCTAAACCATAACTTTCATTGGCAATTTATTCAGATGGTAAAATATGCTCTACTTGTGTTCGATCACTTGACTGAATCTCGCCGGCAAATATCAATAAAGCCAGTGTGCAATTGTGTACAAAGCAGCAGAAAAATCCGAATACAGTTAAATTCTATGGAAATTCACACTTCTCAGCGATGATCCATTTCGCTGCTCATCGCAAAAAAAAACAGACTCTGGGAAAATTATGCTCCGTTAAATTCATTCACACGCTAATTGTTTTTTTGCCATTTGCAGGGCGAGGAAGTTCTATTTCGACAACATCTACGGCTTCTTCATCTCGAATCTCACCGGCTTAGTGTCCATTCTGGCCATTCAGTCCATCCTCAAGGTGCTCATTTGCACGAAGCAATCATCAACGCCAAAAACAGCCTATAGACGTTACTTAGCCACCATTTTACACGTAGTCAACTTCTATTCAGCAAATCCCGATGCAAATTCCAAGTAAGTTCAATTTTCCCAGCGAACACCGTGAATCTGCTTCAGAATGCTCACATTTCAGCACAACTCCTAAGCGACTATCGCGATCGCAGCGGTGGTTAGCTGAAACTGGGTAATGGCGTCGTAGAAATGTCAAAGTGAGTGCAAACTGAGATGCAGAGACTGTCAAATATCGTTTAGAAGTCCTAAAAACCGCAAGCAAGTGCATATAAATGCGGTCAAAGACAACTTTTATGGTAGAAATTGGAGCTATTCTATTGGCCACAAATGAGTTTGGTGAATGAAGATCCAAAGGGAAAGACAATTTTCATTGTATCAATTAATAATTGCGAGATGACATCGGTTTATATTCAGGTCATTCGTTGAACTCACATCTCTCAAAGTCAGGTGTGGTCATATTTCCCATCCGTAGAGGTTGTGGTGAGCACTTAAAGACGGTGGAACACTTCTTGTGCAACTATCTTATGCACTCAAGCCGAAGGTTTGAGATTTTTCATAAAGAAACGCTAACTATTGAATGTAATGAAAGGGCGATAGTTCAAGATCTTACTAAATTTATGAATGCACTTGAAGTTCCGATATCATGGGGGAGGTTGGCATTTATGTAGCTAACTCCTTCTGCCACCCCCTCTCGCTGCATCCCCTGCTCCTACAGTCAAAGCGATCGCGATCTGACTAACTGATTTGCGCGTTTCTCCGCGTCACCCTCAGTGCTGCCTCTACCGTCAAATAATGCTAACAGCGAGATTCTCGTCAGAAGGAGAAGACCGCCATGACAGTGGCATTCCCGCCACAACTTCTCCAGGGATACCAATTAGGGGAGTAGTTTAGGGAATTTTAATTGCATACTCAAGTAATTGCTTATTTCCTGAGTGATGGGAGTATATATCTATGTGGTGACATTAAGGGCCCAAAGAGTCTATGTGTCTGCTTCCACATAGTCTAGAATTCCTGCTCCGCTTTTTGCTTTTATCGCGAATTGTCTCAAAGTCTCAAGTGCGCACTCGCTAGTGATCAGAAAAGACGCATTTTCCCCATTTTTCCTTGCCTCTTTAGCAGGAAATCGTCATTTTGGATGATTGTCTCAGTGGCAATGCCTAAATATTTAGGAAATAAAGTCAAATGTGGAGCAATTTATAGCGCCAAATTGTGCTCAAAAGGGTCCAAAGGACTAAACTCTTTTTTTTATATGGGAACTGCTCGATTATGAGCACTTTTGACTCTGCAGATTTTAGATCAATGTGTTCGCTGGGTTATTGAGAAATGTTTGTGATTTTCACAATTAACATCATTTTATGGACATTCTTTCTAGATGCTACAAATCAATTGCGGCTGTGAGAAAGAAACACATCAAATCGTCGAAATACGCTGAAAAGCACAACAGCGGATCGATAACGCAAAAGGACATGGCATTGACCCAATTCGGCTTCCTTGGGTAAGTTCTAAGCGCGATCGCAATCGTGAATGAATCTGATTTTGTGTGCAACATCTGCACAGATTTGTCCTGGTTCAGCCCAAAATGATGGGCATCCGTGAGAATGGGGAGAACTTTGAGGCTCTCGTTCACCTGTGGCGCGTCGTCGGCTACATGCTGGGCATCGACAATGAGTTCAACATCTGCACAGACTCTCTGAGTACAACCTTGCCGCGACTCCGACTGATGGTGGCGGAAATACTCGTGCCTTGCCTCAAGAATCAGCCGCCGCACTTCCACGAGATGGTGCAGTCCATGATCGAGGGTCTGTGGTGCTTCAATCCCTTCCTCACCACCCCAGCCTTCACCTATCTCACCTACCGTGCCGCCGGCGTGCCTGGCTACTACTACGGCAAGGAGGAGCAGGCGCTGGAGATGCAGCGCCTCAAGAACACGCCCGATCGCGCGCCGGAGAACAGCGACAGCGACGGCATGAGTCCGACGTACAAGAAAATGCCCTGGTGGAGTCGATTCATCGTCGGCTTCATCATCTACATCCTGGAAACTCTGGTCTACGGAAGCACCATCTTCCGATGGATCTTCAACTACAACATCACATCGTCTCTCTTCATCATCAAGTGGTTCCCCTTCTTGGCCTTCCCAAAGTTCGGCTTCCGCGCGTCTTACGTGCGAATTCTCAATGACGCCAACTGAACATCCGCACTGCAAAAGCCACCCAAGAAGTTTATTGCCAATTTCCCTTGATAGATTTTAGCGCACGCATTTCTGTACATTCGCATAAATCTTGCCTCGTGTTTTTTTTAAGTTATTCACCCCGAAAAGTACCAGTTTTTAAAGCATGGAAAAGCTTCCATAAATGATTAATGAGTATTTAGTTTGACGTAAACTATGAAATTGAGCAATAAACTTCGTGAATTAATCCCCTCAATTGCACCCTTAAAGCGATTACAGACTTGCCGCTTATCCTCGAATCGGCGCGAACTCGGATCAATCCTCCGTGGATGATCCTGTAGTATGTAAAGGTCAGATCAGCGATGGTTTGTTCAGCTGTCAGTTGATTTGCATACTTCAAAAGCGTCAAAATTTACGTTAAAATTGCGAAAATTGATGATTCGCAGAAGAATTAATTGAATTTAATAATCCAGGAAATCAATTCGCAAGAAATCCGCCATTTTGCGCCTTTTCTGAGTCGCGCAATGTTTCGGCGCATTTTCGCACGAGCGCGCTGCCGTCGCGAAGCCCTGAAAAATCGGCTGAACCTTCGATATATCGAGGGATTATTCGCGTTTTCTCTGACTAAGCGAACTGTCAGTCACTCGCGCTCTCGCTTATCCTCCCGTGGATCATCAGCAAGTCTGTAATCGCTTTTAACTTCCATTATTATTATCTAATGCGTGTAGTTTGCTTTTATTATAAAACTCATTCCAAAATGGAAATCTTGTGATAGATGATACTCTTATAAGGAATGGTTTAAATGCTAAAATATGACTTTGTAACTTTTTCATAAGAATGTATCTCAAAAAGAAAAAAAAACCAACAAATATGAACGATTAATGTATCCAAGACGTGTTCTATTGCAGAAATTTCTTTTTCATTAATTTATGTGTGTATTATTGTTACCTTTCTGGGCGATGTGAGGCCAACGCATGTTTCATAATCACTTCTGTTGGCACGAATAGTGAACAATATCACCATTTGGGTAGCGAATAAATGCACTCTGATTGCCGAATTTCTTCTTGCAACTCGGACACACGCTGTAATCAGAGATGAGAACTGTGTTGGACTCATTCTGAATGCGATCTTCGTGGATTTGGAGATTTTCAGCATAGAGCAAACCTCGGAGAACTTGAGTTTTTCTCTTCTGCTCAAGCTGATGCTGAAGCGCCGTCTCGAGGAATGTTCTAAGACGAAGCAGTGATATATTGTCGGGCAGAATCTGAAAAATGCATTCGAAATTTGAAGATATCTCACATCAATTTCTACGGAATAATGAGAAGGTTGCTCAATTCCATTCATTCCCTGAAATATTCTTCGAAATAATCACAAAATATTCCCTCCATTCGTAATTCGAACTTGTGTTTTCGAAATTGTCCAGACTAAAAGACTTCAATGAGTGTCGCGGGTTCAATTCTCTTCCAATTGCGTTTTTTTCACAACTCTTTTACACTTTTCTTTCCTTTTTCGAGTATTTTCCTCCACTTTATCGCTTTATATCAGCATTTTTCCCCTCAATCTGTCAAGAATTATCTCTAATAACCCCATCTGAGGTTCGGAATTGCCTTTCTCTCTCTAAGTTTTGTCCTTAATATCCTTTTAATGCCTGAATGTGCATTATTGGGCTTGAAACTTCCCCAAAGAATTCTTTTTAAAGCCTAAAATGTAATTTTTCCCCTTGTTTTCCACAATACTCCTTTAGAAAGCAGTTAATATTGCGTTTTCGCGTCTTTTTCCTTCGCAAATCGTCGTTCTCGGTAAGTTTTTTTCATATACTTTCTTGTTTTGGCATTTTTTTTCCCTATCACAATTTAACCAATAGACTAAAACGGTAGGCCAAGGGGAAGATAATACGGCTAAACAGTGTACATCACTTCCAAACACTTCCGCAATTCCTCTGCAGAATCTTCAAAACTTCTGAACGCCCTCAAAAATGCATTTTCCATCGCTTTTTCCACTCCATCAACTGTTTTTCACACTCAATTGTGACTTATCACAAAGCTAATCCGGGATTTTCCATTCTCTGAGACATTTTTGAGGTTATGGTTGACTTTAAAGCTGTTTTCTAACCTAATCTGGAGTCTTTTTCGAACGCAAATGCTTGATTTTGACAAGAAAAGAGAAATTTTTTTTAGTTTAATCGCAAATTAGATGATTTTGAGGGTGTTTTTATCACATAACCTATAAAAAGGGATTAAATTGATATTTCTAAGCAAAATAATTTTTAAAAAAATCCCTGAATTTGTTAAAACGGAAGCTTTTCCAGTGCAAATATTCTTGTACAGTAAAAATCACGAAAATAACCAAGGAAAAGAGACATTTTTCTGCATTGAAGTGATATTTTTGAGGTTATGGTTGAATTTTAGGCTTTTTCTCAATCAATATGAAGTTTTTTCGCACAAAAATGCACAAATCTGGCAAGAAACAGAAAAATTTGATAATTCAATCTGTTTCGGGATTAAACATAACCTCAAAAAAGCGATAAAATTGATTTTAAAGCAAAATTAATTAGGAAAATGCCTCAATTTGGTTGAAATGGAAGCTTTTTCAGTGCAAATATTCTAATATATTTTGCCACTTTCACTTCTAAACACTTCCTTTCAAGCTGTACACCACTTCCGATCATAATATCAACCCCTTGCGGTAGGCTTAAACGCCTCCCAACAAATAGTTATTCATTCCATCACACATTCTGCGTATTCAATGGAATTTTGACTTATATTTCCATCCATTCCTGGATATTCTTTGAGCAACCCTTGGATTGATAGTAATCTTATCTACCTGAAGAATCGCCAGCGGTTGCACCTTCTTGGCATCTCTCTCGAGAATCTCCAAGACAGTCTCGATATCTGGCTTGAGACACTTGGGATGGAGAGAAACTCCGCTGTACGGAGGAGAAGTCGGGGGCGTGAGAAGAGTTCTGCAGCAAATAAAGCGATCGTTAGCATTATGGTCACGTCGGTGGGTCTTCTTTAGGCTCATTGTCACAAATCTCACACGAAAAGAATAATGGTTAGTGACTCAAAATCACACCTTTAAGATATTCTGCTGATGTTACTCACTTTATAAGGAGAACGAAGATTTCATCTTTCCTGGAATCATTGCCACAAAACACTTCATTGCAGTACTCAATGGCTTTGTCCACATCGCCGAGGATTTGAATGTAGATCGCCAGGACTTTCTCGTGCTTCTCCAGCTTGCCGAGAATCAGTGCGCGCTCCTCGAACAGATCCTGATAGGGAAAGTCTCCAAGGACAGTTTCGGGATTGTATTTGGTGGATTTCTTGAGGAAGTCCAGCAATTTGGCTCTCACATTCACCAACAACGCCTCCTTCTCCCTCGACGAATCGCCAATCTCCATGTCCTGCTTCAGCTCCTTCACAGCATCGCGATACTGCTGAATGAGGATGTTGTGGAAGATTGGCTTTGTCTCATTCCACACATGAATCACATGCTCCAGATAGGGCACAACGAGTTGCTTGTGATTCTTCAGCAAATAATCCAGAACTTCAGCTCGCGGAAGATTCTCCACTTGCTCCATGTCTTCCGTGAAGATCTTCAGTCCATCTTCGGGATATTTCTCAAGAACCCACCCAGAAAACTCAAAGATCAAGGCTTTGTGTTCGCTGCCCAAGTGTTGAAGATACTGAATTGTGCGATCGTGACCGTAGAGATTCGATCCCGGCACTTCGGCTTGCGACTGGAGGAGCTGCAGAGCTCTCTTGTGCTGCCCTTTGGTCTGATACAGGATAATCAACTCCCCATACTTCTGATACTTCTTCAGCGTGCGCTCAGACTCCTCCAAATGGCAGTAATTCAGCCTCAGCAGAGGCGCCACGAGAGAGTCATTCGTCTGGAGATAACACTTGAGCATTGTGGTGTCGATGATGGACAGCAGAGGCGTTGACATCTTGCCAAAGGGCTTCGCAGTGTCCGCTGACGCACTCTGCAGCTCCTTCTTGATCTTGTAGCGCACATCCGTGAGATAATCAATCAGCGCCAGCAGTCCATTCTCCAGATCGCGATCCTCCAACTTGGGCAGCACAGCTCCGCCGACCGCCACACACGGCGATTTGTCTTTCTCCTGTGGGAGTAAGTCGGGGAAGAGGCGGATGACGTCACACGGGTCAGTCTCCAGTTTGGCGAACTCTTTCATTGACTCGCGGAAGCGTTTGTTGGCAAACAAATCAAACGCGTACAGTGTCTGTATTTGATGAATCTTCTCCTTCTTGTCCTCCTCGCTCTCTTGTGAAATATTCTGGAAGACAAACACAGCGGAATTCTGTGGTCAGCCTTGTATATTTCTAGTTTTTTTTTCTTTTCTTTTCATCAATGATTATTTGCATACATAAGTGGAATTTTTGTCAATAAATCATTGAATAGCCATTCACAAATGCCATAAAATGTCAATATTTGCCAAGACTCATCGTGAGTTAGTCTGTGTTAAATATCTGTACAGAATCAAATGTCTAACAAAACTCTCGCTTTACGATAAAACTCAACCATCCCGAAGTGGCCAGAGAACTTAAGCGTCATAAACCGTTCATTAGCATGGCTCGCGATTTCGCTTATGAGCCAAACACTTCCAGTGTGGATTTTCTCAAGCTTGCGACGCCTTAATTCCCCCTCATCTCGAAAGATATTAGTTCTACCATTGATAGAAGCCTGGAAAGCCATGGAAATAATTGCGCCAGTTGAGGTTCCACACGCTACGTAAGGGTTTCAAGAAACGGATACTCATCGGTAGTGGATGTGAAACCGTTGCGGATTTGAGTCTTGAAATTCGTCAAAGTCAGAATCAGTGGAAATTGAGTGATTTTGAGAAATTTGCGAGTCAAAATTGGCTCAAAATCAATCAACTCGTGTTGACATGAGAACATCGAGTCAACACTATTGCTCAATGTCTCAATTTTAAGATTTTACTTCAATTAGAGTATCAAATGGCCATCGATGGCATCGGAAATGGATAATAGAATAATTATTCTAATTGTTTTTAATTTTATATTGATAATTTTCCTTATTATTGCTGAGATATAAGCATCTCTTTTCTTGCGCTCGCGTAAGAGGCTCAGAGACGGAAAATAATTTCTTTCCATGCGCGCTACCTAGTCCCTGAGAGTCCCTCTTTGCAGTGTCGAGGCAACGATAATCCAAATTTTATTATGTCATACATAATCCTTGCCATAAACATTTTCAGTTTTGAAGGTATCTTTAATTGGATGGAATTCCCAAATTCTTCGCCCTTTGCTTAGTGCTTAAGTCTCATGAATTATGAATCAATGAACTGAACATGTGAACATATAAGACAAATCCAAGTGTAATCAGAAGATGAACAATTGGTTGGACAAAAAAAATGGATGGAGAAATTTTTGCAAAGGGGAGGAAGTCGATCCCCATCTCGTGGGGCACCTCAAGATCACTCGCAGAAGTCTCATTCTGCTCCTGGGACTTCTCGTATAACCGCAGGAGAACATCTGTACGTTAATAATGCATAAACTCACCGTGAGCTGCAGAGCGAGTTGGAAGTTCTTCTGCTGGAGGAGATTGTGCCTCTGCTTTGGGATGTCCGTCATCTTGATGCGCCACAGCTGGCTGAGAGACGCCACGAAGATCACGCCGCGTTGGGTGCGAATGAGCAATCGTGCCCTGAGCAGGTCCGGAAAGGACTGGGCGAGAGTCTCCTTGGTGGAACCGGAGTCGAGAGTGCGAATCTCGATGGTGTCGTTGAGCAGAGCCACGGCGAAAGGTTCATCCCAGACAAGTGCCTGCACAGGACTTGTCCAGGCGATGGACTTTATCACCTTGGGTGTCTCCTCGCCACCAGCGAAGTCCTCCGCCCTCACGGAGCCCTTCGTCTTGTTCATCTCCTGCAGAATCAAATTCTGCGGATCCACTGGAATGATGAACTCATCCTTGGCCAGGGCGAAGCGATCGCCGTCGATGATCGTGACGCAGGGATCGACTGTGCGCGAGGAGCTCGTGGGAAAGAGATCTCTCTTGTCCGGATCCTTGTCCGTCAGCGTGTACAGCACGTATTCCGTCTTGAAGCCCACGCAGATCGTCTCCAGGGACCAGCAGAGGGACTTGGGGATGTCGTTCAGCTCAATGTCCGGCGCATACTCAATGAACTGATTGTCATTGTGCCGCCAACACCAGAACTTCAGCTTCCTCTTCACCGCCACGCACATCCGGACAATCAGAGTCGTTTCGCCGGTGAGCGATTTGACTCTCTTGAAGTTCAGACAGAACACAGACGCGCCCTTGCTCTTCACCACGCTGAACACCAGCGGGAAGTTCGTCCTGCTGATGTCATTCACATTGATCTGATTGTCCGTGAGACTCACGAGAAGCTGATATTCCGGAATCACCTCGATTTGCGTGATTGGCTTCTTGCTGAAGTTCTTATCGTACTGCAACAGCTGCAGATCCATCTTGATCTCTGTCTCGCTGTCATTCTGCTGGATCAGATACATCAGCAGATGACCGAGCTTTGTGCCCAGAATCACATAATTATCTGGGAAAGAAGGGTGGTTTGTTTTAGCGATAAAAACACAACAAGTCCAAACGAACGACTCACCATAACCGGCAATGCACTCAATTTGCACGCCTATTTTTGCCGGTTGCGACACTGCATAAGCCTCATGCATTGTGCAAGCACGGAATAACCAACTTTCCCAGTCGGAAAACTGTCCTTTTCACAGTGAAAATTCCCAGAGAAAAGACAACAGTGACTCACAGAAGACGAAGAAAACATCAAAACAAACAGCTGATTTCTCTGTATTTTCGGAGATTCTTCTCTCTCTTTCGAAATTGACTCCGCTGTGCTGTATTTCTTATGTCATAATCCTCTGTGCGTGAGTTTTTCCGTTTTTCCGGGCGGAGTTTCTTTTTCAAGAGAAATCTCACAATGCCGTCAATAATTGGGGGTGAATTTTTGAGACAAAGCGTCTCAAAAAAGCGGGAGAAAACTGATTTCCATTCCTCAAATTTCCGTTATATTCCGAAATCCATTCCTTTCCATTCCAATCCGTTCTTCAGAAATATTCTTTCCCTCCAAAACTAATTCGAAATTGTGTTTTTGAAATCGTCTAAGAAAAAAATGTTGAATTTCCAGCACAAATCTTCATTATAAGAGAATTTAGCACAAGATATTGAAGTCACGGGTTCGATTCTTCTGCAATTTCGCTTTTTTTCACTTCTCTTTCTTTTTTCCTGTATTTTCCTTCATTTTGTCGCTTTATATCAGCATTTTTCCCTCAATTTCTTCAAGAATTATCTCTAATAACGCCATCTGACGCCCGAAATTGCTTTTATCTCACAAAGTTTTTACTCCTAAATTCCTTTTAACCGCTTTTAATGTTTTTTCTGGGCCTTGAAACTATTCTAAATGTTGTAAATGCTATAAAAACTTTGAAGGTTGTTAAGAAAATCATAGAGAGAGTGTGAAAATGTATGAAAATGGAAGGAAAATGACGCGAAAATCTTGTATTCCGACTGGAAAACGGAATATTTACAACAAATTCCGCGTATTCTTTGGACTTTTGATGTTTAATTCTGTCAAGAATTTCATCCATTCGTGTCATTCCCGTCCATTCTCTCCATTCCTTGAAATTCCAACTGAAGTGTGGTTTGTCCATTCTTCAGCTTGAGCAACCATCGAGATTGCCTCAAAAACCCTATGAAAGCTGTTTAGATTGAACCTAGAAAGGACGAGAAGAGGTTTATTTGAAAAGACGAAATTCGTAGGAATTTTGAAGGAATCTTCCATTATTGTGGACACAAACCCAATTCGTCTAAAATGTTGTTTTGTGTGTGTGTGTGTGTGGAAATTGTCAAAATTATGGTTGCGCTGAAGAAGGGTTGAATGGGGTTGAAGAGGATTGAAAAGTTCAGATAAATTGCAGTTCTTGGCTTCTTCTGGCTCTCAAAACAAGCTAATCTGCCGCGTGTTTTATCGATTTGCTGTGCCTGATGTCGCAAGTGGTGTTAAAAGTGTGAATATTGTGAATCAAATTGGAGAATTGCTTGTTGGTTGAGGTTAAAATTGGGTGCTTTCTTCAGGAGGGCGGGCAGTAAAAACGAATTGACTCCGTGTTTGGTCAGGATTCTCCGCCCAGGCATGTTATTCACATTTTACTACATGGCCGCAACGTGGGTTCAGTCGTGGCGATTGAGGTCCGTGTTCCTGCGGATCACCAGCAAATTGAAGGAGGGAATGAGTGTGGTGTTTTACAATTTGCCCACAGATCTCAATGGTGAGGATTTGAGGAGTCCTGGCCACCCTGGCTTGCCTGGCTAATTCATCCGATCTCTTGCAGAAGTCACCAACACTCCGGTGTCCTCGGAACTGTGCTCCAACAGCCTTCAGGCGCGCATCAGAGACGTCCTGTGGCACAATGGCACGCAGCGCGGATGCACGCTGTTCCCCAAGCAGACTGTCTATCTGAGTCCGTGGATTTCCTTCCCGAAGCCACCCACACTGGTGCCCTTCTCCTGCCAGAGCAACGGCCTGGCGGTGGACGAGGAGTCGCAAGTGTATCTCCTGCTGGAGACGGACACACTGCCCGTGAGCAGCGAGAGCAGTTTGCAGCTCCTGATCGAGGGCTATGGCGAGCCGATCGCCTGGAAAGTGGACTCACACATCGCCGTGATCCTCAAATCCGACTTGAGACGATTTACCGAAATAATTATGGCCTCTTTTATGCAAGCCTGCCTCGTAATCAACGACAATTTGCCTCTAACTCGCATTCAATGTGAGTTGCCAAATTTCTCTCTCTCTTCTAGCCTTCCAAAATAACCATCAGATATTGATCTCAATAACTCCACCCTCTCTTTCTCCCCCTTCATTCCGCAGCTGTGGGTGTCGAAGGGTGTCCTCAGCCGTTTGATTTGGTGCAGAATCACGCAAAAAAGGAATTCATTAGTCGTGCCATGAGGAATTTGTCGCCTATTCAGTGGGAGAAGCACTTGTCAGGCCTCCGGGGCCTAGCGATTCTTGCACAACAAGCGTCAGAGTATGAGCTGAACAAGAACAGGACGGAGGGAAAGAGTGGCATTGTGAAGCCAGATCTCATTCCAGCCACAAAACCACCGGAAAGCATTCAAGTCCTCAAATCGCCCAACAGAATGAGACTCGAGCCTCTGGAGTCGACGAGCAGCGGCTCCACAAAGGCCAAAGATATGTCCAAAGTATCACCGAGAACCTCACCCAAGACTAGTCCGATGAAGAAGATTGAGGAGGTGGATGAAGCGCCACTGGCCACACCGCCAGTAGTGGCTGAGACGAAGGAAACGGTGGCCAAGAAGCCACTTCTCAAGCGCACGAAGGCATCGCAGGGCTGCAATTCTGCCGTCATCAGCAAACCACCGAATATTCTCGTGTATTCAGACTCACTCGTGACGCGAGACAACGTCATTGGCACACTGCAGGATGTCCTGGAGGAGGACACGTACACGATTTACCCGCTCACGGTGTGCCAAGTGAAGAATCGCATCTGGATGGACAATGTGTCGCTGCTGGTGGTCTGTGGGAATGTGATTGACGGCGTGGCTGCTCCGCTGCAGGACTTCTTCCTGGGCGGCGGCAGGATTCTCTGCATCTGCAGCGATCTCATTCACATCGTGCTGCCCACGTATCGCACGGCGGAGGTGAGGGAGCACGAGCTGGTGCAATTCTCCTACGGCCGGTGGCGTCAAGTGAGGATGTGCCATCACATCTTCTGCTACCAACCGTCGCCGGTGAAGAAGAACTTCTCACACGACAGCGACGAAGGCGCAGCTCCAGCGTCCGAACCCAGCGCCTCATCGTTCAACGCAAAACCGTGAGTTCCCTGTCTCTCTCTCTGCACTTTTCCTCCTGGCTGTTTGTGACGAGCGGGAAACATACAAGGGGTTGCTAATGTTGGGGATGAAGTGTCACTTGGCAAGAATTCCTATTTGATTCTTTTCATAGATTGATTTCGCAGTTGTTCTCGCAAAAGAAACATATTTTATCTTTGTTATCTTTTCAAAATTTAATTATAAAATGATTGTACACAATTTTCAAGGAGCTGAAAGCAAATTTCTCAGCTGTAAGGCTTGAAAATACCAATGAAAAGACTGCTTTGATTAAATACTTAATCTTTAATCGGATATTTACGGTTTTACGCAAGATTTTACGATAAAAACATTTGTGGAAGTGGGAAAACTTCCTAAATTTTTGCTCATAGGAGAATCTTTAAATATCCTGATGAAAATGTGTAGAGAAAAATCGTAAAGTGTCCTTAAACGTTACCACAAATTCGTTTTTATACCGGAAAAATACATTTTTCGCACAAAATCTTCTCTTTTTTTTAGTATTTGACACAAATTTAGATTTTTCTCTTCAATTATTTGCTCTTTAGTCGCGTGAAATTCCTCTTCAAGTTCTTTTAGCCTTTTGAATATATTTTTTCTCCCTCATTTTCCACTTTTTCTCTAAATTTCGCACAGAATTAGCCACTTTTCCGTTACTTCAAAGCTATGAAACGAATCAAATCGAAAGAAGCATTCAAAATCTCTATTAACAACCCCTTTTTGGAAACATTGTAAAGTAATGTTTGAGCTTCAGAGACTTTTGTGTGCATTCAAAATGTTGCTGTTTAGATAATATTTCAGTGTCCTTTTTGGACATGAATGCAAAACATGGAAAATTCATGCCAATTCAGATTCAGGGACAAAACTACATTCGAATGATTCATATGTAAAAATACATAATATACACACATTTAGGTAAGGATTTTGAAGAATCTGATTTGTGTGAAATTAAATTGATTTATTGAAGCGTCAACACGCGAAATCACAAAACATTTTTAGCAGTTTCTGTAACAATTCTCAGTGTTTGTTGAGCCTCTGAGTGTGTGTTTTTGTGTCTCTTCTGTCATGTTAATGTTTGTTTGTAAAATTATCATTTTGGACGTGGATTGCTCAAGTGAGGAATGAAAGAATTCCATTTCAACCGGAATAATCAAGAATATCCAGGAATACATGGAAATATAAGTAAGTTTCACGTTGATTTTGAATTGCTAAATTGGGATAAAAGAATAGAAGGAATTCACAAAGTGTTCTGATTTGGAAATCTCAAAAGAAAAATGCATAGAAAAAATAGTAAAAGTTCCAGCGTGAATTTCCTGTTTGAGAGTTTAACAAAGTGGAATTTTACGAAGTTAAAATTAAAGCATTTTCATTGATTAAAAGAATAAAAGAACATGCTTTTATCACGAAAAGGACGCGAAAATACAATCTTAGCAGCTTTCCAAACGAGTATTGTGGAAAATATGGTGAGAAATGACATTTTAGGCTTGAAAAAAGAGTTCTTCGGAGAAGTTTCAAGCCCAAGGATGGACATTAAAGCGTTAAAAAGAATATTAAGGCAAAAAACTTTGTCGCTCTCTGAGAAATAAGCAATTTCTGACATTATTTTAAGCGTTAGAACGTTTTTTAAGCGAATATTGAGGAAAAAATGTTGATAAAAAGCAATAAAGTGAAGGAAAATACTCGAAAAGTGAAAAAAAGCGAATTGCAGGAGAATTGAACCCGAGACTTCATGATTTCAGTGCTAAATTCTCTGTCTTCGTCTTTCTGTCTAGACAAATTAAGAATAGAGGAAATATTTTGTAATTATTTAAGAAAATATTCAAGGAATGGAATCCTTTTTCCTCCAACTTGAGCAACCCTCGATTTTGGAGTATTAATTGTGGTTAAATTCTGAACCAAAAAGAAATTGACATCAAAATTCTTCACACGCAGTGTTTGCAAAAGATCAAATTGGCTCGAAAAAACACAGAAACTTCTCAAATTTTCTTCTTCTCCAAACAATCACTGACTTTCTTTCTATTTTCATACACACAAAATTGTGAACACTTTTGTGTTGTGGTGCGCTGGCTGGTCATTTTGCATCTGTGTGTCCATTTCTGTCTTCTGTTTGAATTTGTGCATCTTCACGCCTTCCGCTTCGGCATTCGCTGATCCGCAAAACACACGAAAACATGAACATTTAACGAATCACACGCTCAGACTCATAGTGTGTCCAAGGTCTGTGGAAGTTCCCGACGGGAGCGGCACGATGCACAGTGTGGATGTTCAGGTGCTGGGCACGGAAGAGACCTGGCAGACGCCTAGTTTGGTGCTGGCGCACAATTCTGCCAGCGATGGAAAGGCCATTTTCTCTCAAGTATGCAAAAATCACACCGACGAGTCAATCGAAAACCATGAAAAGTCGATTTATCCTAGTTTCTGTCTTATGGAATTTTTCAAAAGCATTTTATTTGTTCTTCGTGTACAAAAATTATTAGATTTTTTATCTTACAAAAGCGATTACAGACTTGCTGATGATCCACGAATCAGCGCGAACTCGGATCAATCCTCCGTGGATGATCCTGTAGTATGTAAAGGTCAGATCAGCGATGGTTTGTTCAGCTGTCAGTTGATTTGCATACTTCAAAAGCGTTAAATTTTACGTTAAAATTGCGAAAATTGATGACTCGCAGAAGAATTTAATGATTTTAATAATCCAGGAAATCAATTCGCAAGAAATCCGCCATTTTGCGCCTTTTCTGAGTCGCGCAATGTTTCGGCGCATTTTCGCACGAGCGCGCTGCCGTCGTGAAGCCCTGAAAAATCGGCTGAACCTTCGATATATCGAGGGATTATTCGCGTTTTCTCCTGGCTAAGCGAACTGTCAGTCACTCGCGCTCTCGCTTATCCTCCCGTGGATCATCAGCAAGTCTGTAATCGCTTTAAGGCTATAACGAAAAATCTTATTTATTTAAAAAAAAAATTGTCATGTTTTCTTAATAAAAAGTCGAATTCTCAGTTTTTTTACGCTGCAGAAAATATTCGTAGATTTTCAGAATTAATCCCAAAATGTTTTTTAGACTTTAAATGAATTTTTTTCACCGGAAAACTTTAAAGAAAAGTTCAAATCAAGTTTGAAAAGTTGATTTTTCAGAACTTGTTTGGATAAAATCGATCTTGGAAAGTAATATTTTCAGATTTTCCAATAATTTTGCCGTATTTTAGTCAAAAATTTCAATAAATACCAATAAAATCAACTAAAATATTTACAAAATAATAAATACAGAGCAATATTTGCACTTTACCGGACGATTTGAGGGTGTTTTGAAGGTTTTGAAGTAAATTTGGCAAATTTCACAGCTAAATTTTGAACTCGCTGTGCTGAAAAATGACGATTTTGGCTTTTGATAGTTTTCGAGGCACCCGTCGATACGCAAAAAAGCAGATTGATGCTCAACTTATGCTGGAATTTGATCTGTTTCCAGGTGCATCTCGAGGCTGATCCGCTGCAGTTTGAGAATGACGACAGTAAATTCAGAGTTCTCAAGCAAAGCAATGACGCCAGGCTGGAAATCTTGATGGATTTGCTTGGATCGCACTTGAATATGCGCGTGAGGCGCGCTGACGCCGTGCAGAAGGTGGCAAAGTTCACCAATGGCTTCTTTCTGGGACGCCATGAGGCCAAGATTGAGATGCTGAAGAATCTGTCTGATCAAATGACCGCGGAGAAAACACTCAAGATTGCCGATTTGACTGTAAAGTTTTGCGAAAGAACCGATCAAATCCCACCGGCGACCAGCAATCTTCTTCCAATTCTCGTGCATTCCTGCCCAGAGGATTTCTCCACCGTGGAATATTTCGACGTGAGTTTAATCTAAGACATAAATTTGGCGAGAATTTTGTAGATTTTGGTCTTGATTTCAAAATCAAGATTATTTGACTTGAAATTATCTTATTTAACATGATATTAAGTGTCACAAATACTTAAATTTTATTGACAAAGAAAAAATTTAAGTCCTTTTAGAACTGATTTTGCTTTAAAACCGGTTTATTTCGGGTTAAAAAACGATAATGACTTTTTTCATCGACTTTAGTCTCATTTTTACCGAAAGATCTCAAAAGAGAAGAATAAATTCAAGTCTTTATTCTTCCATAAAACTAGACTTTTTGGGCTAGAAAACGATAAAGTCTTATTTTCCTTAAATTCAATCTCAATTCTTAGGCGAACTCTTAATTTCAGTATCAAATTAAGTCCATTTCAGTCTTAAAAACCCAGTATTTTTCTGCTTAGGACAAAACATTGAAAAAATCCTTATTGAAAAATAAGTTTTTCCAAAAGAACACAAAAAATAGGAATAAAAATAAGAAAAATTCCTTCTTAATATGTTTTTACTCCGAAATCAACTTGATTTTATGATTATAATTAACTAAATTTTTACCAAAACGCTTCTTTGATAAACATTCTAATTTCAGATTTCCATGATTTTCCTCAAATGTTTGTTCCTAAGACTTTTCATGAGAAAATATGGCATGATTTTCTAATTTCTTCAATGTAAAACATTGAAAAAATAATTAAAAGTATTAAAAATTGATTTCTTACAACTTGTTTGGAGAAAATGTACCGAAAATCTATTGAAAATCGACTTTTGAACACTTATATTTTCAGTTTTTTAACTAACTTTGCCATATTTCAGTCAAAATTCCAATAAATAGCAATAAAATCAATTGAAATATTCACTAAATAATTATTAAAGGACAATAATTAACATTTTTTTTTCAACCAATTAACGACTGTTTGATCTAAAATTCGGCAATTTTCGCAGCAAAAATAACGCTAAATTTTCAAATTGTTCTCCTAAATATTGCAATTTTGACTATTCATAGTTTTCCACCATTTAAAAAATAAAATTTTTTAGTTAAATTGAAAAAAGTCTTTGGAAACTTGTGAAAAGTGAGTTTCGTTTGAGGAAAAAAGGTCAAAAACTTAAATTTACGACGATCGAAAAGCTCGAAGTTGGTTAGATTCAGGCTGATTTTTGAAATAATTCTCCTTGTTTGCAGACTCTGAGCACGGAGAGCGTTGGCAGGCTCGTGATCTACGTGCCGATCATCACGAGCTCCATGGCGGTGGTGGATGGCCTGCGCCTGGGCCACGGCGTGGTGGTGATTCCGCGCCATCAGACGCAGGGCGTGGGCAGGAGCGCCAACCAGTGGCTGAGTCCGGACGGATGCCTGATGTTCACCGTGCAGCTGTGCGTGCCGCTGGCCAGCCGTCTGGGCCGGAGGATCTCGCTGGTGCAGCACTTGGTGGCCACGGCGATGGTCAGCGCCGTCCACGGACTCGGCCAGGGATATCAGGTGAGTGGAAGTGAGCGTTTGGACTTAAATTTTGAACAGCTTTGCTTATTTATTTTTCTCTTTTTTTTTTAAATTGTATCAGTTGAATTGGACAATCACAATTTTACTCATTTCTAAAATATTAACATTGTATTCTCGGTTAATATTAATTTATATTTACAAAGTTTAATTTTTATTGAATATCTTTATAATCTCCGTCAATGTTTTTAACATTAATGTGCAGTGACGTGTTGAGAAAAGTATATAAATCCAATCAATTCCAGACATCTCTGCACACTGAGCTCTTTGAATGTCCAAACATTGGATGGAGAGAGACAAAATGAGAAAAAAAAAGAACCACATTTAGGCCATTTGGAATCATTTCTTCCTTCTTAACTTCACCCTTTCTGTCTCTTAAATCCAACCAGATAAATTCCTTTTAATGATTCTGTGGGTTTTTTTTCTTCACTCTTTTGTGTGTTGTTTTTTAAACTTTATTTTCTGCAATTTTGGCAAAATCTAGTCTTTCATGACAATTTTTATTACCTAAAATTCTCAAATGATGTTTTTTTTCTTTTCATCTTCTTCATTTAATTATTCCTGAAAATATTTTAACACTTTTTTTTTTGAATTCTCTTTACTCGAGGGAATTTTTTCTTCTTCTTTCAGATTAAAAGAGACAATATAATTTATGTACAGAATTTTTTTTTTAGTGAATTTCTTATGTTTAAATTTTGTTTTCTCCTTTTAAATCTATCAATTAAGATGTTTGAACGAAATGTGTGAGCATAGAAAGTGGAGGCAAATTTCTCTTATGTCCATATTTTTCTTTCTTCCTTCTCAAAATGCATCTTCAAAACGGCTTGAAACAATTTTTCCCGATCAATGAGAAGAATTTCTTTTTATATATTTAAAATTGGGGACAAAGCGCTAATTTCAATTAATTGTCGATCATTTTTGTTTTAATTAATTTAATATTTATAATTGCCTGTCTTCAATAATATATTGTACAATTTAATCATTAATTGATGAAAAAGTATTTAATGCCAAAGAAGAAAAAAAAAACAGAAAGGGAAAGGGGAAATTTTGCTGTGGTTTTTTATTATTATAGAAGACTGTAAAATTTGAAAATTTTACAGCAACTATTTTTTTTTCTCTTTTCTCTCTGGCTAAAAATTACACGTAAAGAATGACAAAAATCACAAGCCCTAAATCTTAGGTAGTTTTTTTTTATTTTTTTTTTAAATATATTCCGATTAATTAATATAAAATTATTTATAGATTTATCTTAATTCTCATATATTTGATAAATTTTTTTATATCCTGTATATAATTTATATATATAATGTACTCTTACTTGCAATATTTGATAAAGGGAGAGACTTGCATCTCTCTCACTCCCTCAATATTTTGGCCTGTTCGTTTGTGTGGGAGAGAAACAGAATCTGTACATTATTGATATCGCATTTTGGGTGGATTTTATCAGCAATCATTGGAGAAATGAAAAGCTCTTCGATCACTTCTAATGGGGTTTTGGGCAAATTGAATGAATCTTCGACTTATCCAGCGAGCAAAAAAGCTGAAAAAACAGCTAATTTAGCTGAAAAGTGCTAAAATTTTAGCTGAATTATTGAAACCGGTCAGCGATCGTAGCGGACAAAACTTTTTCATCAATTTTCTTAGAGCGATTACAAACTAGGCGATTATCCACGGGAGGATAAGCGAGAGCGCGAGTGACTGACAGTTCGCTTAGCCAGGAGAAAACGCGAATAATCCCTCGATATATCGAAGGTTCAGCCGATTTTTCAGGGCTTCACGACGGCAGCGCGCTCATACGAAAATGCGCCGAAACATTGCGCGACTCAGAAAAGGCGCAAAATGGCGGATTTCTTGCGAATGATTTCCTGAATTATTATGGTGAAAACACCAGCATTTGTAATTTGTAATTTGTCCACGAACATCTCTTTCTTCCCCTCGCGTATCGTGTATTTTCCTTCCTACTCTGTCAGCGTCTGACTCTGACATGTCGAGACAGCCACTGTGCGAGTAGGAAGGAAAATACACGATACGCGTGGGGAAGAAAGAGATGATCGTGGTCAAATTACAAATTACAAATGCTGTGTTTTCACCATTAAAATCATTAAATTCTTCTGCGAATCATCAATTTTCGCAATTTCAACGGAAATTTCACGATTTTTGATAAAATAAACAAATAAATAAATCAATTGTCGCTAGTGTCGATAAAGAAGAATAACTCCTGAGTGTGTTTAGCGCCAGTTCAGCCACGATTTATCGCTGATCCGTCCTTTAAACACTCAAAGCTCATCCACGAAGGATTGATTCGAGTTCGCGCTGATTCGTGGATCATCAGCAAGTTTGTAATCGCTCCTATGGTGAAACCACAGCATTTGTCATCTGAAAATTGATTGAGATCGTCTCTTTCTCAACCACGCGTATCGTGTATTTCCTTCCTGCTCGCGCAACATAGTCTGCAGATCTGCAGACACAAATTCTGTAGACTATGTTGCGCGAGCAGGAAGGAAATACACGATACACGTGGTTGAGAAAGAGATAATTTCTGTCAATTTTCAGATGACAAATTCTGTGTTTTCACCATTATCAATCTTTAATATTTTTCTGCTTGTTTTCACCAAATATTGTGCTAATTTTTTGTTTTTTCCTGATAAGAACATAGACTTCCCTTCATTCGGTCTCCCGTGACAATTAAAAATGTCATTGAGAGCATGAAAATCTCTCACTTTTGAGGTTATTTTTTGGCGCTAACATTACAATTCACTTGAGTGTTGTAACCACGAAGTGTATTATTGAAATGGCAAGGTTCTACATGATGCGACATCTATGGATTTAAGTGCGCATCAGTACTTTAACTTGTCGCCGCTACGTTCGCTAGTGCAGTAACCGATTTGCTTAGTTCTCAACGAAGGAAAGCTAAACAATCTTAGCATCTTTGCTGGCTGGGTAATTTCTCTCTATCTTTAATTCTCCAACTGAGAGGGATAACGGATGATTTTGATGAATTACACATTTATTGGGACTTGAATATTTAAATATGCATATTTATATATAGAGATAAGTTTGCCACAATTGTGCGATAGCAATTACCGTACGGATCTGTTTGCTCGGCTTCCGCTGCCCGGCAAAGATGGCGGGGCAAAGTGAGCCCCTTTTAGAACACCGACTCTGCCGAGCGGGATAATTGAACAGGATGCGAGGGACTGCGTGCGAGGCGTTTCTTTGGCAATCGCTCGAGGAGTGTGAGAAGATTGGCAAAGTCTTTCCGATCGTCCGCCTGAAATGACCAGCACACCATGAGGATGTCCTTGACGTCGCGCGACGCCTGCAGATTGGCCAGTGTCTGCTTCATGCCGCGCCCCACTTGCCAGATGATCGCCTCCGGCGGTTGAGACTTGAAGGGAAACTCCCCGCACAGCAGCTCATACCACACAGTGCCGAAGGCGAAGACGTCCGAGGCCTTGGAGAAGGGCAGATCCTCGTCCGTGGGCCGAAAGGGCTTCAGACCACGTATGAGCTCGGGTGCCAAATAGCACAGCCATCCGGTCGGAATGCCGAGTCCCAGATCACAGTACAGCAACTTGGTGGCGCTGAATAGGCCAAAGTCCGTGATGATCACCTTGCCATTCTCCAGGAAGATGTTCTTCGTCTTGAGATCCTTGTGCACAATGCCACGAGCGTGCAAGTAGCCCATTCCCTGAGATATTTGCTGTGCCACAAGTGTCGTCTTGTTCAGATTGAACTTGTCCTTCCGGAGGTGGATGTGCGTGAACAGCGTGTTGCCCTTGCACAGACTCGTGACGATGGCCAGACGCGGTGGCTTCATGCACGCGCCCATGAACAGCACCACATTCTCGTGGCGGGTCTTCTTGAATGTCGCCACCTCCAGCTTGAATGCCTCCAATGTGCGCTCGTCATCCAGATAGTCCTCCTTCAACAGCTTCACAGCCACATCTCCGTGCCACAGTGCGCGATGCACAGTGCCAAAGCGCCCCTTGCCGATCTTCTCCAGCAGGTGCAGGTCGTCGTACGGGATGTCCCACTCCTTCAGCGACAGGCTGTTCTGTCGCGGCCAGTGGCCAGAGTCGCGCTCCTCCGTGGAGTCCAGGCGGATGGGCGTGCGATCGGAATCGGTGCTGGCGCTGGTGGAGCCACTCAGGGAGATGGTCTTGTCGCTGTCGTTGCTCTGGTGCGTGTCCGCCAGCTCAGACAGCGTGGGACGCGGAGAGCTGGGCAGCGGAGCGGTGGGAACGATGATCTTCGTTCCCATCGTGCGATCGCCATCGCCGCCCACATTGTTGAGCCTCTGGTGGTGATGCAGCTGATGGTGATGGTGATGGTTCTGTGGCACTTCCGGAAAGCTGAACTGGTTCTTCGATGAGCTCGGCGTCTGGGGTGGGAGATTGAGGAGGGCCGGACTGGAGGGGCTGGAGCTGTTGCAGCTGGAGCCGGCGGAACTGGAGTCCGGCCCGTGATATGGTAATCCTGCGTGCTGCTGCTGATGGCCGCGCCTCGGCACACCGCCGGCGGTTCTGTTCATGTTGGGCGACGGATTGATCGCCTTGAAGAGCTTCTGCGGCAGACCACAGGACGGCGGCACGGATTGCTCGCAGTCCTTGTGGCAGCGATACTTGCACTCCTTGCACTTCAGCCCGAAGAACATGGGCTTGCCGCACAGGTCGCACGTCACCGTCATCATCTTGAAGTTCTTGGTGAAGTGGTGCGGGATGTCGTGGCCCATAGTGGGGTTCACCATCACGGGCGTGAGTGGCGAGCGCGGCACTGTGAGGTTGTTCATCACGGGCGAGCAGTTCTCCGCGCTCATGTCGCCCGTGTGATTGCCCGGGCCGGGCTCCGTGTGGAGGCGAGATCGCGGCTTGCTGGCGACTGTGGCGGCGGTGCTGTTGGGCTGGGCGGCGCCGCCGTCGGTGGTGGTTGTGACCACGAGCTGGGACTCGTGGCTCTTTGACTTGGGCAGCGGCGTCTGGTCGCCGGCAGTGGACGCGGGCAGGGGATTGGAGTTGATGACATTCTGCACGTTGACGGAATTCACGCCCGGCTGGAAGCTGATGGTGTGCTTCTTCTTCGCCGGCGGCGTCGTGGGGAAGGCGCCGCGCTTCTTGCTGTTATTCAGCAGCACCGACGGGGAGTTTGGCGGCGACGGGGAGGGTGTGAAGGTGCTCACGGTGGTGGAGCTCTCCTCGGGCGACGTGGCGCCGTAGTACGCGGTCTCCGGCGGGGAGATCTCCACGGGACTCTGCACAGTGCTGTTGGATGTCTGCAGGCGCGCTTGCTGCTGCGGATTGAGGCGCGCGTTGGATCTGGCGGTGCGCGGCGACGTGCCGGAGCGATGCGACTGGTGCTGGCGGTCCCAGGAGTCCCAGAAGAGGTCGTTGGGCTCCGGGAAGCCGCACGTGATGGCCTGGCGGCACTGCTTGAGGTTGTACATGGCACGGATGAAGCGACGCACCTCCTCATCGCGTACATTGGCATTGTCGTGGAGGATGGCACGCAGTTCCAGCTCACTCTTCTCCAGCAGCGTCTCCAGGGTGCTCACGCGCTGCAGCACGACGTTCAGGGAGTCCGGACTGAGGCCTGCGGAGAGAGAGACAGAGAGGAGAGGGGAAAACGGGGGAGTGTGAGGGCTGCTCGGCTTCTCCAGCACGCGTCCGGATACTCACCCACCACGCGCAGCCACTGGTGCAGCTCGGCGCCCGTGGCGGACAGGCCGCGCGGCAGGCGCTCGGACAGCTTGGCCTTGGTCAGCAGCAGATCCGTGAACATCTTCACGAGCTTCGTCTCCAGCGAGCGGATCTCCTGCTGCGTGAGCTCGGCGCTGGTCGCGCACTGCGTCCGCAGGCCCTCCAGCCTGTCCGCCGAGATGTCAATCATGCTCTGGATGACATACAGGCCCCGTCGGATGTCCTTCTCATTGCCCGAGTCCGCGCCGTCGTCCGACATGGCTGGCGGCCACGGTCCGCCCCGCCGTCTACCCCAACGCCCTTTGCACTTCACACTTGTCCCCCGCGGAGGGTCGCTCTAGCCCCCAAAGTTTCGGCTGTGGATGAAAGCACACATTTTTTCCACTTTTGTCCGCGGGAGAAGAGAAACGACAACAAGAAAAATCAATCACAGACTCTCCCCCGATTTCTGCACGCACGCACTTCTCCTCTCACTCAGCGCGCCCCATTTCACCGCGCCACTCGCACGGCACACACGTCTGAGGGCGGAGGAAGTTGCAGGGGGCCCCAAGAGAACACACAAGACACCTTTTTCCAGCACTTTCCGTTCTCTGTTGATGAATTATTGAACTCTGCGAGTCTCTCTCTGCGCCTCTTCTGTGCGCTCTATCTCACCCACTAAGCGACGCGGCGTCTTAACCACCATGTCTGTTCTCGCGTCTGCGGACACGTCGGCGGACGGGCGGACTCATCGCACCGACTTTGGGATAGTGACACATCAACAGTAGATCGTGTCACAGGAAACGGGAACAGCCAAAAGGATGATTGAAGCTAAAATCGTGCATATAAGTTTGAGGCTCTTTACGCCGTCTCGTTTAATCCTGCATTAAAATTGATGCAGGATTACTTTGACAGTTTTGTATGGCGAACTGTCAAATAAATGCTGCATCAATTTTAATGCAGAATTGAACGATTGCGGCATAAAGAGGCACATTGATGAGTGAGAGAAATGCTTGGAAAAATGTGTGAAATAGTTTTTATTTCGGCAACATTAATTTCCTATAAATTTACATAGTAGAAATGCGATGACAAGCTGGAAAATTAATGTTTTACCACCAAAAAATATCTAAAATATCGTCAAATTGTCCTCGATAATAGAAAATTAGAGCTTCAATTCCTATCCGGGTCGCTAAATTAAACAACTTGAATGCGAAAAATGGCCTGAAATTGACATCTCAAAATATCAATTCGAAAATATGACGCAGAACTTGCTTTCTAAGTCCGGGGAAACTGAGATGCTGAGAATTAATATCTCTGCAGTGCTTAAAATCCCCCTAAAAACTATAAACAAGGCCTTGTTTTGAGGGAAAATTGAGGAAAGAAGATTTTCTATTCAGAATTCCAGTGTTTGAGTGTATTTTCATGGCTCATTTTGTGCGAAGAAATAAAAGAATCTTGCGTTAAAAGACATTTAGAGATAATAAATGAATATTTTCGGGCGTTTATTGTCTTCTAGAAGACAGAAAAGCTATAAACACTGGAATAAATATTTCAATAAATTCACATCAAGTGGAAAAATCTGTGACAAGTCCTTTTACATGGGACAATCGTACGACGTTTCTCGAACTATTCGGAACGTGAAGATAATTCTGTGTGGGATTAACTGGCATGCCGGTTTGGGATGTCATGTAATTCTTCGAACTTGATTTTCATACTATATATTACATGTGTATGTAAATATATATGATATGCGATCTATGCAGATATCGGCTTTTCCACACTTCTCGGTAACAACGAAGTGACGAGAATAAAAGATATTCTAATCGAGTCCATCAAATGGAATGATGAAAATTCAATTTCTCTGTTATTAATCTCTTATGACAGGAGAACGTGAGGAAGAAAAGACTGTTTGTGAAAGGAATGTGAATTGTTGCAGGATCTGGACATTCGCCTCAAGTGGCCAAATGATATTTATGCCAATGGAACGGTGAAGATTGGCGGCCTCATCACAACATCCGTCGTCGAGGGTCAGACGGCCGTCTGCAACATTGGCTGTGGCTTCAATCTGGACAATTCCAATCCAACGCTCTGTCTCAATGACCTGATTCGCGAGCAGAACGTGCAGACGAAGGGAAAACTGCCGCTGCTGCACTACGAACGAATGCTGGCGCTGATGTTCAACGAGATTGAGCGAATCTTCAACACCGTCCAAGACGGATCGCCAGGATTGGACTACTTGTATGAGTTGTACTACAAATTCTGGCTCCACAGCGGCGTCGAAGTGGAGATTGTCAACGACAAAGGCGAACACAGGAATGCCAAAGTGATTGGAATTGACGATTTTGGCTACCTGAAGGTGCAGACAGACGGCAAAAGGGCTGAATCCGTTCATCCCGATGGCAACAGCTTCGACATGCTGAAGGGATTAATCCTACCGAAAAACCACTAAACATTTTTCCTCTTTGGCAAATGCATTAATCATTCCTTTTTGGCTATTCTAAATAATATAAAAAACAAGCAAATTTGTAGATCATCGTTGAGCAAATGTGATTCACGCGGATTTAAAACTTAAAGAAATTAAAAATGAGAGTCTAAATCAACGGGTGAATTGAAAAACTATGAAAATTCAAAATTGTCCTTCTTCAGGGAGAACAAATTGAAAATATAGCATTAAAATTGCTGCGAAATTTACCTTAAAACATCTTTGAATTGTTCACTAGAATGCTAATATTGCTCTGTAATAATTATTTTGTGAATGTTTTCAGTTGATTTTATTGGTATAAATTAAATTTTTTTTTGATTAAAACATAGCAAAACAAGGGGGAGATATTGTGGGTCGGAAGTGGTGTACAGCTTGAAAGTGAAAGTGGCAAAATATATTAGAATATTTGCACTGAAAAAGCTTCAATTTCAACCAAATTGAGGCATTTTCTTAATTAATTTTGCTTAAAAATCAATTTTATCGCTTTTTTGAGGTTTTGTGATTAAATTAAAATAGATTAAAATATCAAATTTCTCTCTTTCTTGGCAGATTTGAGCATTTTTGTGCGAAATAACTTCATATTGATTGAGAAAAAGCTTTAAAATCAACCATAACCTCAAAAATATCACTTAAATGCAGAAAAATGTCTCTTTTCATTGGTTATTTTCGCGGTTTTTACTGTACAAGAATATTTGCATTTCAAAAGCTTTCGTTTAAACAAATTGAGACATTTCTAAAAATAATCGTGCCTAGAAAAATCAATTTGTTCGCTTCATTTTTAGGTTATATGATAAAAAAAGGCCTCAAAATCATCTAATTTGTATTAAAACTGAGAATTTTTCTCTTTTCTTGTCAAAATTAAGTATTTGCGTTCGAAAAACTTAAGATTAGGTTAGAAAACAGCTTAAAAGTCAAACATAACCTCAAAAAATTCCAAGAAAATTCTCTTTGTTTAGTTATTTTCGCGGTTTGTGATCTAAAGTGTCAAATTTAACCTCATTTTTTAGTGGAAATATTGTGATTTTCGCCATTTTTAGTCATTTCCAGACTTGAAGTATATTTTTGATCAAAATTCATAACCTCACAATTTATTCAGAATCTTTTTTCAAGCATTTTCTGATGAATAAACAAGAAAATCAAGACAGAAATGCATTTTTAAGGGCGTTAAGAAGTGTCTGAAAGTGTTGAAGATTCTGCATAAGAGTTGCAGAAGTGTTTCGGAAGTGATGTACACTGTTTAGCCGTATTATCTTCCCCTTGTAGCAAAATGTGTGGAAAAATGGAAAATATTAGTTTCCAAAGTCCATTTTTAACAGTCTTTGAGTGAATTTTGATCAAAAATCATTCACAGTCTAAGAAAGTTTAAGGAAAACTTCTGAAAATTTAGAATTATGTTTATCAAAGACATCATTTTAGGCGAATTAACTGCAATTTGGGACAATTTTCCACAAGAAATTGATGAAAATGGACTTTTCTTCCGTTTTCAATTCACTCGTCGAAAGGCCTTAAGAGAATAATTCACTAAAGAATAATTTTTACGCATCGAAAAGTGCGTTTCTTTCGATCAAACAAACAATTTCAATGTCTTCGTGTTAACATTTTATGAGAAAAAAAGAAAACAAAACGTCTCAAAGGCTAAATTGAAAGCAAAGAGAAAAAAAGTGTAATTCTGTTGTATTTATTCATGCGAATTAATTGTTTTTTATTTAATAGTTAGAAAATGTACTGTAATGAATTTATCGAGCATGTAAAGTCAGAGATGAATTCTCGGCTGGAGAGTGAAAAAGAGAGAATAAAGTCAATATATATATATACTGATGTTGAAGTGAAAGACTGTTTATCTTCGGAATATATATTTTAATATATATTCTTCAGTGATTTTTTAACACATTCTTCGTCAATTTCAATACATTATATGGAATAATTTCCATCAATAGTTTTTTTTTTGTTTATGCATTTCAATTCTGTTTGACTCCTTTTCAATGAAAATCTTTTTCTTTCGTTTAAAAACGGAAATAGAAGGTCTCTCACAATACTTTCTTTCTCTTCTCTGTTATTCCTCAATAATATAACAATATAACAATTTTTTCTTCTTCTTCATCTTCATCTTCTCTTTATGTGAATCAACAATAAGTTTAATTATTATTTTAAAATTTACTTTTAAAGGTTGTGGGCTTTTCATTCCTGGCTCCGCATCAATTTTTTTTTTATTAATTTATTTTTCGTATTTTTAAATGTATTTACTTTTAAGTTTAGTTAGATTTTTTTTTTGTAATATTTCATTAAAGTTACATTTAGTTATTTGTCTCTGCTATTTAAACTAAGACGTATATGTTGTTTTTTTTTTTGTTAATTTGAGGAAGAGTTTCTTTTATATGAATTTCTCCTTTAAATATAGACTAACTTCTCGAGATTCTTGTTGTCTCCAATACCAAAAAAAAAAGGAGGAAAAACGAGAGAAATGGGCTTTCTCAGCCCTTCCTGTAGAGTGTTTGTCTCGAGAAGTGTGATGGGTTAATTTTTCTTCTTCTTTGAGCTTCTTAGCGAAATATTCACTTTTTAAAAACATCTTGTCTCAACTGAGGTGGGAATTTTTCTCTTTTTCTTCTTCACCTTCTTCAGTTTCATGGGAACATCAGGAAGAAAGCAAGAATAATCTGCTAAATTATTATTATTTTTTTCGTTGTTTTTCTTTCCCCCAAAAGAATCTCAGTTGTTGTACAAAAAAAAACTTGAAGCAAATTTGATTTCCTTTTTTTGACTCTATTCTGACTTTTATCATCATTTTATTTAGACTTTACGAAATGTCTCAAGTAAAAAAAAGGCTATGTTTCTCTTCTTTTCTTTAATCATTGACGCTTCACGCTTTCTGTCAATTTCTGGAGCAATTCTCAGTCACACAAACAATGTGTTACATTAGTTTAACACACACTTTTGCTATTCTGTGGTGATTATGTTAAAATTCTACCACAAATTAAACAATTTTCATTCGCCTGAATGTGTCATTTTAACACAACTTCCAGAAGTTGTTTCATTGAATGTGTTAAAAAGCAGAATAACAGATCGGAAATCTGCAAATATCTTGCCAAATCGGATCAATCCGCAATTTTAACTCTCATTTTCAGGCTTAAACTTAAGAGATATTTGCAGTAAATTCTTTTTATCACGGATTTACTAAATATTTACTTGAATTTTAATAATTTAGGCAAATTTCACAATTTTTCCTCTCTTACACATTGTGAAATCGCTTCAAAATCTAAAATACTGAGTTAACGAGAATATCAAAAGCTGTTTTTTTCCTTATTCATTTCCAATGTTAAACTTTTACATATCGACGGACAAAGAGAAAACGGATGAAAAGTCGATTTTTCATATTTTACATCTCATGCTTGAATAACTTTTGATCCAAGTTGAGATCATAAACTTTGTGATTATTCAATGATTTCTTGATTATTTCGTGATTTTTTATTGAAATTTCAAATATTTCATACAAAATTCAAACATTTTCTGATTTTTTTTGAAAAAATTTAAAAATTTAATTAAATGTCCTCCAAAATCATCTTGTGATTTTCCTATAATATTCTTAAATTTTGAATTAAATAAAATATTTGTCATATCTTTTAATTTTTTCCACATGAAAATTCTGAAGAAAAATTAATTAATAATATAAAAAAAAGTTGATTTATCTCTTAAGTTTGACATAATTTCAGTCCAAAAATACTAGGAATTTTCAAGAAAATCAAGTAAATATTAACAGTTTAACGAATGATTTGGAGTTATTTTAACACTATCAACTCGTTTTCTCTTCACCCGTCGATATTAAAACCTTAACATTTTTGTGTTTCACTCAGAATTGCTCCATTAATTTGTCTGTATTTATTTCTTCCCGGGTTTTTTTATTTGTTTTAAATTGTTCTCTTTGGCTGCTGTTTTTCTTCTTCTTTTTGCTACTCAATGCGAAATTGTGGATGTCTCAAAATAGACAACGAGAATGTTTTTTTTCTATTAATTTTCAATTTTATTATTGTTATTTATAGGTGTTTTTTTTTCTTGTTAATCTTTTTCACATTTTATTAAACACTTAATGAATATTACGTGTTTCTTTATTGTACATTAGAGAGTTTTTCTTTTTTTTAAGTCTAGGTAATATTCATCCTTCGATCATTTCATTCCTTTCGTTAACATGACTTTTGTTCCAGTGTTTTTGTTGAAGAATTATGTTGTTTTTTTGTTTGTTTATTTGCATATTGATTTCAGTAATTTTTTCCTATGACAGAAATATTTATGTTTCAAGTTTTTGAATTTTTTCTTCTTGGAAATTCCGTACAACCGACAGATTTGTTCTGAGTGTAGTTTTGTTAAACACTTTTGCGTAAATTCTATCTTTATTTACATTTTGCGTAGTGAAAAAAAACCAACGTTAAAAATGTTGTGTAATTTTTTATGTTTCTTCTTCATCTCTTGTTTAATATTAAAAACGACATTTCTACCTGTTTTTCTTTCTGTAATTTGTAGTAAAATGCAATACATAAAAAAAACTGTAAGATGATTTTCTGTTATTGTTTTATTTAAAGAAAAAATAAATTTTTTAATAATATATTTTCTATTTGTTTATGGCAAGGATTGCGCAAGTGAAGAATGGACGAACCACACTTCAGCAGGAATATCAAGGAATGGATGAAATTCTTGACAGAATAAAACATAAAAAACTGAAGGAATTCGCAGAATTTGTTGTAAATTTTCCGTTTTCCTGTCAGAATAAAAGATTTTTTTCTACTAAAATCGCATTTTCGCGCCATTTTCCTTCCATTTTCACACATTTCTCTATGATTTCCTAAAAACTTTCAAAGTTTTTATAGCATTTACAACATTTAAAATAATTTCAAGCCCCCAAATAAAGATTGAAGCTTTGAAAATAATTTAGGAGTAAAAATTTAGTGAAAGAAAAGCAATTCCGGCCATCAAATTGCGTTTTTAGAGACAATTTTTGAAGAAATTGAGGAAAAACTGCTGATAAAAAGCTATAAAATGAAGGAAAATGCTGGAAAAAGGCAAGAAAAGTAGCGAAAAAAACGAATTGAAGGAGAATCGAATCCGCGACACTTCAAAATCTTGTCCTAAATTCTCTAATGTGGAAGATTTTCGATGGAATTTGTGCAAAAATCTTTCTCTCTGAGACGATTTCGCGTACACAATTTCAAATAAGTCTCAAAGGGAAAGAATATTCCGAAGAATGGATGGAATGAACTGGAATAGATCGAATGGAAATGGAAATTTGAAGAATGGAAACCATTTTTCACCCACTTGAGTAACCCTTGGTTTATGGCATTTTTTTTCTCTCAAAAATACACTAAAATTCAATGACATTTCATTTGAATTCAAACAAATTACGGCTCTTTTTTCAACGATCTACAACCGCAATTTTTATGTAACTAGTAAATAAATATGCATTAAATTTATATCAATAATTAACTTATAGGCCTTCCATTAATAGTTTTTTCAAAAAATATATGTATAATTTGTTTTTTTTTTTCTTTAATACATAATATTTCTTCACACTTCACATCAAATTTTTCTCTATAAGTAGTGTTATATGTTCATCATCGCGACTTTCCACTTTGGCGGGGATGGAAAATCTCTCTCTCTCTGACGCTGCAATTTTTATTTATACAAATTCCTTTTGGTTTTATTAATCCCCCTTTTCTCCACACACTAAATAATTTATCTACATGAATTTTTTACGGAAAATCTTTGGCAGTTTTCAATGAATTTGTGTGTTTTCTTACACGAGTTTCAAAGGGTTTTTTCTTTGCTATATTACAGGTTTTTCCTTCTTCCTATTTTGATTTCTTTATGGGATGCTTAAATACCCGGGGAAGCCCATCTTCCGCCGCTGCTGTTTTGTGAAAATTGTGACAATATATTGCTTTTTCTCAATACCACACTGATGCGATTGATAGTTTGAGGGAGAGTCAGTGACTGTGAAACATTGAATTTACCCCGCATGGAATCCTTCGCGCGCGCGGGGCACAGAAGGAGGGGGGGTGGGGGGAGAAACAAGAGCAAAGTTCCTTTTGTACTTTGATGACTTTGGGGACAGGACGAAGTCTGGGGCTTCCCGCCGATGGAGAATCTGCTGATGGAGTTACACGACCAGGTGGGACACGTCAGACGTGTAGGCGGGTGAGTACTTGGGTGGCGCCTTGAAACCTTTCTCCTCCAGCCGGCGATTCCTCACGAGGTCCGAGTCGCCGGGCCAGGCGCGCTCGGGTCCGCGCGGACCCAGGCGCGGATAGCGCGGATGCTTGTCGACGGCTAGACTGATGGTTCCCGGCGTTGAGTTAAGGCCAATGTTGTATTGACGCTGCATCGCCAGTGATGCTCGGAGGGTTTTTCGTTTCTGTCGAAGAGAAAAACACACACAGATTCAGAGGGTTGTTAATACACAGTAGCCCAAAATTAGCTTAGAACACCTATGAAATTTTGCCCATTTTTCCTTTTAGTACCAAGGATTACTCAAGTGGGGAGAAAAATGATTTCCATTCCACAAATTTCCATTATATTCGTAAATCCATTACAACGTATTCTTCGAAATATTCTTTCCTTTTAAAATTAATTCGAAATTGTGTCTACGAAATCGTCTAACAAAAAAAAATGTTGAATTTCCAGCACAAATCTTCATTATAAGAGAATTTAGCACAAAATTTTGAAGTCGCGGATTCGATTCTCCTTCAATTCGCTTTTTTTCACAACTCTTTTTCACTTCTCTTGCCTTTTTTCGTGTATTTTCCTTCATTTTATAGCTTTATATCAGTATTTTTACCTCAATTTCATCAATAATTATTTGTAATAATCCAATTTGATGCTCAGAATTGCTTTTCTTTCACTAACTTTTTACTCCCAAATTCCTTTTTAGAGCTTAAATGTTTTATTTTGGCGCTTGAAACTATTCTAAATGTTGTAAATATAATAACTTTGAAGGTTATTAGGAAGACATAGAGAGCGAAAATGTGTAAAAAAGGAAGAAAAATGGCGCGAAAATGCGATTTTGTAGTTTCCCAAACGAGTATAGTAGAAAATCTCGTTTTTCCGACTAGAATACGGGATATTGCAACATATTTCGCGTATTTCTTGGGTTTTTGATGTTTAATTTTTAGCAAGAATTTTATCCATTCTTCAACTTGAGCAAGCTTCGTTTGGTACTAAAAATTCGGTATTTCTTTCAATTTCCGAGACAATTTCATTAAGACAAGAAATAATGAAAATTAAATCATCTTTCAAATGGCATTGAGATCATGGCGATATCTCAATTCGAAGCCGAGATATTGCAAAATGCAGAGAAATGTGTGGAAAAAGACAGTGAAAATTAAATTAGAACTGCAAATTTTGCTCTAAATCCATGTTATAATCATGAAAATGACTGGGAATAATCCATTGAATCATGAGTTTGGAATATCTTGAAGACAGTTACATTATAGAACGTCTCGATTTGGTCTTGTTAAATTGCTTTTGTATATTTTTAGCTACCGTTTAACGCTTTTGTACCATTTCTTAATGAACCCGAGAATTCTATGCGAAATTTAGAAAAAAAAGAGTGATAAATGAGAGAGAAAAATATGTTTTTCTTATTTTTTTCTGTGAAGATATAAATAAAAGCATTAAGAGAATATTGAAGATCACTTTGGAATTCTATTTTACACGAACGTGAATAAGAATATTGCAAAGGAAATTCATTCTGAGCGCCTTAAGGACAAATACTTAAAGAGAAACATCTAAATCTCTTTTAAATACAATAAATAGAAGAAGATTTTGTAGGAAAAATTTATTTTGTGGCTGTAAAAAGGAACTTATGGTGAATTTTAGGAAGAACTTATTAATACTGAACGTTTAAAGGACTTTTTACGGTTTTAGCTTTTATACAGATTCTCGGTTTTGCAAGAATTAGAGAGTTTTTCCAGTTTTACAAACGTTTTTAACGTAAAACCGTAAATATCCGATTTAAGATTAAGTATTTAAGCAATGCAGTCTTTTCATTGGTATTTATAAGCTTTTCAGCTGAGAAATTCCTCTTCAAAATATTCTGTGCATTTTGAGTAAAATAATACTGCATCCCCAATATTAACAATCCCTTGCACACGTTTGTTTACCATCCACAATCAATAAAAACATTCACGGTTTTAGGTAAAAAAAAACTGCGCAACAGTTGCTTTAATATTTTAATTAAACTTTTTGATGCATTGCCGGACATGAAATTAATTATATTTCTCCAAGTTAATGACGCTCGTAATGCAACCGTATTTCCAACCCCGCTAATTATTTTTATAGACTAACAATTTCAATGTAGTAAATTCGCATTTCTCATCTGCGACGGAAAAAGCTGAGAGTTATAAAATTTTTGTGAAATAATTAATAGAAATTTTACGATTCAGCAACTCATTATTTCATACAGAATTATTCACTGCACAATGTTATTTTGCTAAAACCGTGGAATTCACAGAAATCCACAGAAGAACGATAGAAAGGAATAACTTTAACAAATAAACTCATACGTGGCTTTACAATCCTTTCACGAGGAAATTGAATTGAAAGCAGATGCAGAAAAACGCTTATGATTTCACATTTTGCAGCATCAATCAAGGGGGAGATAATAGTCAGAAGTGGTGTACAGCTCAGCGGAGGTCTTTTTGAAGTCAAAGTGTTCAAAAATCTACAATATTTCTTTTCTGAATGCTTCTTTTATTGTCAAAATGTCCCGTTTCTTTCGATTTCTTTTGGTTTTCACACTAAAACAGCCAAATTAATACTTTTTATAGGTTATGTGACGAATCCAGAACAGATTTAGAGAACAATTCGCAATTCTAGCATATCAATTCTTATGCTGAAATCCGAGAAAAGCATTTTCATGCAATAAACATTGCAAAAAACACTGCAAAATGTGTTGAAATCGAACATAACCTCAAAAGTTTTGATTTTAACGTAGAAAATGTTTATTTAGAAGACTTTCTGCATGATTTTGATGCTGAATCAGCAATTTTAGGGTCCGTGGAAAATCACAAGAGCCGATTTTGTGATCTGGAAAGCCTCGAAATGGAGTTTTTGAAGATCTTTTAGTGATATTTTGAGGTTATGGTCGAGAAAGACGCCCAGAAAGAGCAGAAATATTGGATGGAAACTTGAGAGATTCATTATAATTTGGGAAATAATGTGGAAAAAGACTACAAATTTCAAGTTCTTGAGGTGTCAGGCAAATTTGAAAGTGTTTCGCAAGTTGTGTACAAATTTGAAGCATATTATATCCCCCTTGTGTAGCACAAAGGTGCAAAAATGTGTTGTATTATTGTATATAATGCATACATATCTTTGCAGCTGCACTTCAACATCTAGCAATTTCCAGTAGGAAATGACACATAGGAAATTTCCTTTTCCCACCAGCCGAAGAATTTATCGCACGAAACTTCCTCCAGTTATAATTCAAAATCAATTTAAAATGATATTTTCAATTACCTGCAGCTAACAAATTGAATTTAGTCGCTAAATGTGTTTCAAAATGATAACATATCATGCCAAACATTCGAAATTTAATGCAAATTAAATGCAATAATATTGTCTGAAGTGAAGACCAGGAAGATATTGACCAAGTGTAATGCCTTCATTGTTCTGTGAGATTTAAATAGTTTTCAACTAAATCCGAAGTGATTTAAATTACTATGATAAAGTGTTGGTAAATCGTGTGTAAGAGTACAAAAGCGTCATCATGTTTCCAAAACTATGTTGAGGAAAGTGTAAAATTTCAGTGCTAAAACTTTCCTTTTTGTCCAACACGAGAAACCAAAGTTATGCAGAATTAAATTAATTTTGCAATTACGCCTTTCCAGTCGATAAGCATATACATATGTGAACTTTGCCTTGCTATGTATCTTTTGGTTCCTGGACAGAATTTTTGGGTCATTTTAAGCGTCACATCGTGAAAAATGATCGTTTGTTGTGGATTTGAAGAATCGATTAGTGGTAATTTTCTCCTCAGAGACGAATGAATTTAGACTTTAGCATCAGTCAAGGGGGGGATAATATGCTCTTAATCTGTACACAACTTCCAGCACTTCAAATTTCTAGACTGTTTCCACAATAATTCACAAATTATACTAAATATCTTAAGGTTTCATGTGATATTTCTGTAAAAATTCACTTGAAACCGCTTTCTTCAGTGTCTTTTCCGATCATAACCTCAAAAACATCACTAAGAGATCTTAAAAGACTCCAATTAAGAGCGTACTAGATGATAAATATCGTAACTAAACTCAAAATTGCTGATTTAGAGTGAAATTCGTGTAGAAAGGGGAATAAATAGACATTTTCCACGTCAAAAACTGTATTTTTGAGGTTATGTTGGACTTCAACACCATTTTCAGTGTTTTTTTTGGCATCAAAGATACAGAAAGGCCATGTTTATCGCATGAAAATGCTCAATTATGTCAATAACAAGCAATCTTGGTGACTTTAGTATAAGAATTGATGTTCTAGAGTGCAATATATTCACTAAGTTCGACCGTAATTCGTAACATAACCTAGAAAAGGATTTTTCGAATCGGAATCAGAATGATTAGTGAGTAAAAGAAGCACGCCGGAAAGGAAGATTGTAAGTTTTTCAATAATTCCACTTCTTAAGTACTTCTGCTGAGTTTGTACAACACTTTTAGACTGTATTATCTCCTCCTTGGCCAAGACAAGACGCTTGAATTCTTTATCAATTTCTATGGCTGACATTGAATTTTCTGAGAGATTTTTAAGACACTCACTTCAATAGTTCCACGCCACTTGTCGGCTGCGTGTCTGGCAATTTCCATGCGTTTCTGCTTCTTTATCTGGTGCTTCTTGTAGATCACCTCGATGATGATGAGCCCAATGCCACCCACAATTCCAGCTCCCACGAGGATGAACACGCCCGCCATGTTCTTCAGTCCCAGCGTGTTGGGCGTCTTCTCGAACTGCTCGCACTGCTGCGCATTCCCGTGGAAGATCCACAGCTTGTCCAGTGACTCCATGAAGCCACTCTCGTGGAACTCCAGGATCGCCAAGGTCACGTGATCCGTCCACGGAGAGCCTTTCTGCAGACCAATTCCGTAGCCACTGCGTCCGAACAACTCTCCGGCGGTGACCAATTCGCAGTCTTTGGCCGCTTCGTACTCCAGCCGCGAGGAATCCCAGATGAAAGCCATCAATTTGCCATCCTTCACATCCTGAATGGCCATTTCGGCCGAGGCGTAGTTATTTGCCTCCATCGTGCGATACATGTTGGAGAGTTCCACCTGAAATCAACACACAAAATCAGTTTTATTCGTCAAAATTGCTCGACATGACAAGGGGGAGATATTGTGGTCAGAAGTGAAGTTCAGCTTGCTTAGTGGTTCAATATTTTTAATATAAAGCGTTCAAAAGTTACTTCCAAAAGGAAAAATTGGAGAAAAAGAATTGTTATTGTCATCTTTCTAGGTTATGTTATGAATTTTAAAGAAATTTGCCACTAAATAACCTCAAAAATCATTCATTCTCGCGTCTAAGCTGGTGTAATTTATAATTTACTGGCACAATAATAATGAAATCTATTGAAGATTGCTAGCTTTCAATGTTATATTGTGTCAATCGTGCTAAGATTGATCATAACCTCCAAAATATTATTTCAGGATACAAAATCATCTATTATAAGCAATGTTTGATTGATTTTCTACTCTAAAGTAGCAAATTTCAGCACATTATCAATTTCAAGCCTCCTTCAAAGATTCTTTTAGATAATTTAGATAATTTTTAGGAAAAAGCTACAAAGTTCGGAAAGAGGGTGAAAAATAAGGAAATCTCATGTTTTAAGCACTGCGAAAGTCCTGGAAGTGTTCAAGGTGTGATTCCAGCCTTATTTCATACCTGACGTCTGAAGTACATGTCGACGGCCGAGCCTTTGACGGTGGCGCACGTGAGGTTTTCCATGGTGTTTCGCAGGCGGGCGTCGTTGATGCCTGACAATTTGGTCTTGGGGCGCTCCAAAACGAGGAAGGCCGCCAAGTTGGCAGTGTACGAGGCCACGATGATCATGGCGAAACCGGCCCAAACCATGCCCAGGACGCGAGCAGAGAAGCTCCGCGGCGTGCCTTCGCCAATGCCGCTGTTCAGCAGGACGCCCCACGCGAACCAGATGGCAGAGCTGAGATTCAGAGCGTCCTCCTCCGTGCCGTCCGTGTTGGTGAGCCGGAAGCGGCCGAAGGGCGAGAAGCGATCCAGGAGATAGAGCACCAGCGCCACCACGTGCACGGACACCATCACGAGGATCCACAGAGTGTTGCTGAAGGGCTGCAAGAAGGACACCAGCGTGCTGGAGCGCGAGGGCTTCTTCTCCAGAATCGTGATGCCCTGGTACTTGAAGGGCTTGGAGAACTCAATGAATTCCGCACGCTCGGGATTAATCGTCAGCGGCGCCACAATCATGTCTGCTCGCTCATTCACCACCTCGCCAATCAAGCCCGTCCACTCCTTCTTCACCTGCACGCCCGTCGTGCTCATGTTCCGCAGCACGTAGTGGCCGAATTGGCCGTCCGGCGACAAGGCCAGGTCGAAGGTGAAGTTGATGCGGTGCGCCAAGGCACGCAGCAGATCAATGCAGTAGCCGCGGCAGCAGAACTCATTCTCCGTGCCGTCGCTGGCGTTGAAGTGCGGACACGGAATCTCCTCGTCCTCGCACGAGAGTTCCTCCTCAGTGAGCCGGCGCACGTACACAAAAGGCTTCTCCTCTATTGTGAGCACCTTCAGGTGGGTGGGAATGATGATGCCTTCTGGCTTTCGGCGCAACTTTCCAGGCCACAAGATTCCACTGTCATTGATGCGAAGACGCATTTTCAGTTTGTCCTGCAAAGTGGATGAGGAAAATGCATTAATTGAGATTTATGCAAAATTCTTTACAGTCGACTTTTATCTTTCAAATCAAGGGGGAGATAGTATGCCTTAAATCCACAGTTGCTGTGCAGAATCTTCAGCCCTTCAGAGACACTTCTAAATGCCTTTAAAGGCATTTACCATCGCTTCTTAGACTCCTTCAACTGTTTCTTATCGTTCTTCCGTCTGAAGAAGTTTAAGCTCTTCAAATGCTTAAGATTTAAGATTGTAAGAAATGATTTAATTGTTCCAGGATTTATTCATGAACAATTTCTGTCTTCATTTTCAAAGTTTCACCTTTGAAAAATGCTTGGGAAACTTCTGACCAAATTGTGAGGTTATGAATCCGAACTAAAAAATCCTTTTTGGACTAATTTTAATCCTTTCAAACCCTGGAAATGAGGAAATATGACGAATATCTCAGTATTTCTACTAGATAATGTGGCTGAATTTGTCACTTTAAAGCTCAAAACACGTAAATAACGAAGCAAAGTTACATTCTTCGAGAGTGAAATTATATTTTTGAGGTTATGATTGATTTTTAAGCTTTTTCTTCAGCAAGCTAAAGATTTTTGAGCACAAATGCTTAAACTCTGACAAGAAAAAAGGAATTATTTCCTGAAAAAATACAAATTTCATGATTTTGATGGTTATTTAACCCTCAAAATATGCTTTAAATCAATAACATAACCTAGAAAAATAATAAAATCGATTTTTCTGAGTAAAATAATTGATAAAATGCTTCAATTGGTTGAATTTGAAGCTTTTGTAATGCAAATTTTCGAATTATTTAAAAATTTTCATTTCCTAACACTTCCTCAGAAGCTGTACACCACTTCCGGCCACAATATCTGCCCCTTGGTTCGAATTGATTCGAGAACGCACTTCATAACACTCAAATGATAAATAATAGAGTTTGCCAGTTGAAAAATGCATATAATCGATTATTGCCGATAAACATAAATTATTTATGAGACAGATTTACGTAAATGCAATTAAGGATATTATAATGAAGTGTATATAATATGATTTATTAATTCTTTATTACAGTGAAATTTGCATTGACGCTGTGAAAATATTAAGGATTTACATTATTTATCAATTCCATTGGCAATTTTTCTCTGTCCACTCGAGATAAAATGGAAAAGTGAGTGTTAATCCTCAAGGGATAAATTTATAAAACCATCGAATTGACAGAAAGGGACACTCAAGGTGATGAATTTCTTTTCGATATAAAAAAAAAGTACATAAATCCCACTAATTCCACAGCACGAAAGAATACAGTTTGGAAGTCTGGCGAAATGTATCCAGGTGAAATTTTCTTCGGATTATGTGAGTTTTTCCCTCCATTCCATTGTCTCTCGTTCGCGTTTTGGGGCAATCGGAAGATTTGCGAGGAAATTAAGGAATGTGTCTTGAGTTGGGCAAATGTGCTTAGCGGGAAAAAATTGAAATATAGATAGAAATCTCTGCTTTCCACTTTGGTTATTATAGTTGAATACACAATTTTCTCTCCGAGCAATCTCTCAAATGGTCTGCTTCAACTCTTGAGAATATTTATGAAGCGTCATCGTCTCAATGCACATTTTGCAAATGGAGAAGTTCAGTCAACCCCGAAGCCCTTTTTACTGCTGCTGCACAACTGGGAATCTGTCTTGAGGCATGAGAAAATTCACTTACAGCATCGTAATAGAAGCTCCCGACGACCTTCTTCTTCTGATGGTCCCGAATGTTGATGACATCGTACTCAGCATAGATCCTGTCGCCATTGTCATCGAATGCCACCTGACCCGTTTCGCCGCGGATGTTTCTCGTCTTGAGGTAGTGAAAGATTCTCTTGCCCGACTCCCAAAGCGCCCCAGAGTCATCGCAGTCCTTCGGAGCTTCGGTAATTGTCTCATTCAGGCGCATCTCCTTGATCGCCGACGCCAAAACATACACGCTATCCTGCAAAAGGGCGGAAATAGACGGCGCATTAGAAGCCGGAGGAATTCCTTCAAGGATATTCCATTTGCCGATTGTGTAACATAATATCACTGCGTGCATTTGTATTTATACACCTTAAAGATAGAGCGTAGAAAACAGACAAATGCTCTTTAACTGTGTTCACTGAGAGAAAATTTGTGGTAAAATTTAATCGATTTTGGGCATAAATACAAGAAATATCCGGTTGAAAACACCGATTAACGAAGATTTTCGGCAAAAGACTCAAAGGAGAAGAAGAAATCCAAGTCTTTATTCTTCCTTAAAACTAGACTTTGTACGGTCTAGAAAACGATTCCTTGATTTCAATCTTAATTCTACGGAAAAACTCTAAATTTCAGTATCAAGTTAAGTCCGTTTCAATCTTAAAACCAGTATTTTTTCTGCCTAGGACAAAAGATTATTGGAAAAATCTTTGTTTTATTCGTGATAAATTTGTGAAATTATCAAGAAAATTCTCCTTTTTTAGTCTAAGAGTTCAGACATAAAAAAAAAAACATTTTATTTTAAGTCTGGACAAAGTTTTAACAAAGTTTCTTCAGAAGCATTAAAAAAATCTAGAAATAAAATAAGCGAAATCTCTTTTAAATGTGTTTTCTCTCTGATACAGACTTGATTTTATTATCATAAAACTTAAATTTAGTATCATTTGATCATCATTATTCGCTTTGTTTTAAGTATATTTCAAAATCTTTTTACTATGACGAAAAATACTTAATTTAAATCGAACATAAGGAAGAATATGAGGTCAAAATATTCTTTATTCTAATCGTTCTTGATTTCAAAAAAAGAGAAGAATTGAAATACATTAAAAAAAAACGTTTTTTCGCATTTATATATCAGAAACAGACTTGAAATTATGCTGAGAAAGATATTAAAAATATATGAAAATAGAAAAATTAAATCTATGACGATTGAAAAGCTTGAAATTTTTAATATGAATACCGAAAAGGACTCAAAATTAGATAGATTGAGGCTAATTTCAAGACCTTTTTAGGAAAATAATTTCAAGAATATCTATTTCAAGGCTCAAAAATGTATTGTTTTCCTGAATATATTTAATACGAACTATGGGAAATACACCAGATGTGTTAAATGCAGATTTCCTCAACAACATTTCACTGAAATTTCATTGCGATCTTGTATGGAAAGGCTGCGATGAATTTAGAAACAGTGAAATGCTTTGTTTATGCTGAAGTTTAAGTATTGAGGGCATGTAAATGCCTCACGTAATTCTTCCTTTTGAGCAACCAACAGTGTGATTTCCTTATTGCATTCGCCTTGTTAGTCGAAACTGTTAAAACTTGTAAGTTTATGTGCAAATATCTGTGTGAAATTGCACAAAGTGCGACTTTGCATTGAACTCTTACTCGAATGTGTTCCTTTTCGCTGTGCGCGTGAACCAGTTGCAACCCTATGACGCCGAAGGGTGTGTTGTTGGCATTGAGAGCGTGCTCCGTGACTATCCAGACGTACCCAGCTTCGGTCATGTTGAACGCCGCGGCGTCCCGAAAGATGATGGAAGCGTCGTCTTTGCTGCAGAGCGACAGAGAGAGAGAGAGAGAGTAATGAAATCTGTGATAAATTGTTCTTTGCAGCGACTTTGCTTGGCTGGAGAATGGCCAAATGACACCTTGACACATGAAAAGGGTGCCTAGAAGTGGAGCTCAAAGAGTCCCGAAAATTTATTCACATTTCTGTTTTTGATGTTTTTCACCCCTTTTTGCGGAAAAGCACTGGAATGAAAACTTATTACGCTGCAGTTGAATTTGAGAAAACTTCAGTGTGTGTATTTTTGCTCTGGACGGAAGTTTGTGTGATGAGTTTTTTTCTCTTTTTATTCTGAATAAATGATGCAGAATTGTGTAGTGATTGTTTGTATGCAGAAAATATGAATTTCCGGCTTTCCATGACTATTCATGACTCTTAAAAGTTTCCAAGTGTCGCGATTTTCCATCTTTTTTTTTACTATTTCTACAATTCTCTTCATTGAAATTATTTATTTTAAATTGGTGCTTTTTTTCTAGAATCTATTCAATAAATTCAAATAATGCTTGAGTCATTAAAGTAATTGTCTTGTAAGGACATTTGAATTCATCAAGGGTGAGATAATATGACTTAAATTTGCCTAACACCTCAAGAACTTGAAATTTGTAGTCTTTTTCCACATTATTTCCCAAATTATAATGAATCTCTCAAGTTTCCATCCAATATTTCTGCTCTTTCTGGGCGTCTTTCGCGACCATAACCTCAAAATATCACTAAAAGATCTTCAAAAATTCCATTTCGAGGCTTTCCAGATCACAAAATCGGCTCTTGTGATTTTCCACGGACCCTAAAATTGCTGATTCAGCATCAAAATCATGCAGAAAGTCTTCTAAATAAACATTTTCCACGTTAAAATCAAAACTTTTGAGTTTATGTTCGATTTCAACACATTTTTCAGTGTTTTTTGCAATGTTTATTGCATGGAAAATGCTTTTCTCGGATTTCAGCATAAGAATTGATTTGCTAGAATTGCGAATTGTTCTCTAAATCTGTTCTGGATTCGTTACATAACCTATAAAAAGTATTAATTTGGCTTTTTTTTTTACCAAGGAGCAAATCGCAAGGCGGTTTCTGAAGGAAACTTAATGTTCTCTAATCAAATAATCAATTATTTGAGTAAAATAATCAGAGAATTATTATTTTCTACAAAAAAAAATAATGAAAAAATATCGAATTTTGAACTAAATAATAAAAAATATAATTATTTTCCCATGAAAGATGAAAAAATTATAATCAAATTTAGAATTAAATAATAAAGAAATGATTTCTTCCCAACTAAAATTGAAAAACAATCAAATTATGATTTAAATAATAAAAAAAAAGATTATTTTTCCAAATAATATTACAAATACAATTTAAAAAAGAATCAAATTTTGAATAAACTATTAAAAAAAAGATTCTTTTCTAAAGTAAAATTGAAAAACATTCAAATTCTGACTGAAATAATCAATTTATAATCAAATATTTAGAAAATAATCAAAAAATAATCAGAATTTTGTATGAAATAATCAAAATTTGAGTAATAATCACAAGAATTTAAAAAAAAATTCAATAATCGCAAAGTTAGTGGTCTCAATTGGCGAGTGATTGACTTGGTTTTTACGTGAAAACTGAAAGAACTCGAAAAAGGCGGTACATTCTGTCAATAAAAGAAGGATTTAGAAAGGAAATATTGTAGATTTTTAGCACTTTTCAAGACTTCCGCTCAATTGTACACCATTTCTGACTATCATTTCTCCCTTGGAATTCATTTGGCGCCAAATAACGTGGGTGAAATGAAGAAAAAAAGGAATAGTTACTTGGCATAGAGCAGATAAACTCTCGATTGCGCCGTCTTCATCTCCAAAAGATGCTCCGTGAAGCTCTCCAGCTTGGGCTCAAATTCCACAATTGACTCCACAGTCGCCCGGACATCAATGTCATCGTAATTTGTTTGTGATGTTGTCTGAAAGCGCCCAAGAATCGCTCTTCCGTCCGTATCGGAACTGTGAATGATGATAACCTGGAAGTGGGGAAAAGATGCTCCTCAGTTGTAAATTCTCATGAAAATGGCGCATCCGGAAGGAAAATTATGGAGATGTTAATGATGTTTTGCGTGTTTCCTTTTTTCATTCCAAGGCACAATGTTGGCCTATTTGCGATCCGCAAAAGGAAGTTTAGCATCGCGCAGAAGTGATAAAAATTGTAAATTATTATCATTTCTGCATTTCCCTATTTCTCCAAAAAAATTTGAGAGTTTATAAAAGGGAAATTTGCCTAAAATCCTTCCTCTAAACTAGTCGATTTCAGGCTATTTACATACAAGGGGGAAAGGGTGTATATTTCTGCGTGCTGAAGTACACGGCATGTAATGTAAATACATCTTGAGTAGTATTTAATGGGAAAAGTTGGCAGAATCATGGTCCTTTAATGTAACATTTCACAAACATTCCGCAGCAATGGCATGTACTTTCTGGCCCAAAAGACGACTAGCGAGGGTGTTTATTGGGATTTCTCTGCTTCCTAGAAATTCACCCCATCTCCGCAAACTCTGGCCTTATTTTCAAGAAATATTGCCATCAAGAGTGACCCCGTCCAAATGGATAAATGTTTGCCCTCTTGCTTAACTTCGTGAGGCTGTGGAATTACGAGAAGAAAGTGTTGTGAACTCTGTGTGTCGATAAAAGGCAGCTAATTAACGTCACATTCAGTCTTCACTGTTTCCCAATGGATGAGCCAATAAATGTTACTTCTGTTAGTTCCTCTTGATGGCTTCTATTGAGGCCATTCATATGCAAGGAGCACAGTTTTGCCTTTGCATGTCTTGTGAAAGACTTCTGAGAAAACTGATTAAATCCACAAGCGACGGTTTTATGCTAAAACTGCCCTATTTCATCGGGAGAAATACAGAATTGTTGAAATTCACACATTTTTTCATGAATCAACGCATTCTAAATGTTGCACAGTGCAATTTTGGTGTCTTATTAAATGGAATGGAAAATGATTATTAAGGAAAGGTGTTAATCTTCCAGGAATTCCGCTCTGAAATCAACTGTTTCCTCAAATAATACAATGATATTCGTCAGTGGATTGTCATAAATTATGCAGAAACCAATATTTATCATATTTCTCTTAACATTTATTGAATAAGCAATGTCACAAAATCAGGTATTATTGAGCGAATGCCCAATAAATTGGCAAATATGTTCACAAAGAATATCACATAGTTTTCAATAAACTGTGAGGTTATGAAAACCGGAATTAAAACATTTTCGAATTAAATTAAATCTTCTCAAACGCGAGGAAATGGAGTGAATTTAGGACAAATCAGAATGTTTTTACTGGATAAAAAAGTATAAAATGCGAAAATAACTAAGCAAAGAGGCTAAAATTACATTTTTGAGGTTATGTTTGACTGTTTTTTTACTTCTAAAATTTAACAAAACTCAACTTTGCTAAGAACAAGAGAATTTTTCCAGTTTCAACACATTTTTAGACAATTTTTAGGGTAATTTGAATATCAGAATCAGTTTGAATTTGCTTCAAAAAATTTTTCATGATATTGTGAGGTTATGAATGCGACTTTGAAATCTTTCTTTCCCTAATTTGAAACTTTTTACAGCGGAAAATTAGTAAATATCGAGTTGAAAACAATGTTTAAACAAGAAAATGACGTTAAATTTGCCACTTTTAAGCACAAAGCGTGGAAAAAAGACAATTTTCGGGACTGAAACACAATTTTTGAGGTTATGATTGACTTTTGAGCTTTTTCTTACTCAATATGAAGTTATTTTAAACGAAAAAAGCTCAACTTTAGCATGAAAAAAAAGGAATAATTCAAGTTAAATCACAATTTAGATGATTATGAAGGTTATTTAGCCTCCAGAATTAATTCTAAATCTATCACATAACCTGAAAAGAAGCAATAAAATCGATTTATCTGAGTAAAATGATGTAGAAAATGCCCGAATTTGTTAAAAACAGAAGCTTTTTTAGTGCAAATATAGTGAATATTTCATCACTTCCAATTCCAAACACTTCCACAAAAGCTGTACACCACTTCTGACTATAATATCTGCCCCTTGGCGTGAATAAATGGCAGAAATAACTGATAGAAGTTGTCATTTTTGACCAAAAATGCGCCTTATTTCCACAAATATAACAGAAATTCGTACATAAATAGCTATGAGAGGCTTAAATAAAGTTAAAAAAAAAAATGCCAGCGGGAATACAGAGTCGTTTTGACATTGTGAAACGGCACGGAAAAATAGAGCAGTTTTAGCATAATACCGTCGCAGAAGTCGGAACGCTTAAGTTAATGCAAATATCTCAATTAAACTTGAGTGAGATATGATGGATTCAGTGTTCTGGGAAGAGGCTAAAGCCCCTCAACATATCTTGCATCTCTAATTGTGGGATTACAGGGAATCTTGGCATGCATGCGATGGACAGAAGCATGAGTTGATTGACTGACCTTTGTGTAGCCGAAGTGGCTCAGCATCTCCAGCCACACGTCCGCCTGGTGGTAGTACGGTGGGACGGTGCGAAGAAATGACACGTGAATATTTTTGTCGGAAAACGCTGCATCACGAGATGAGATTCCAATGACGGGGATTTGGTAGAAGCCGCTCGTGTAGCTGACAGCTGCCGGTGATAGATCTCCACTCTGCTCGTGGGACACCACCATGGCGTACACCTATGAATGCAGGCGCTTCAATGAGAGGCCATTTGGAAAATCACCACCACAAGAGCTTTTTTTCCCATCTGCTCTTCAACCCTTTTGCTCCATAAATCTTCACTTGCGCGATCTTCAAGCACTTTAAGCACTTAAATTCGACAGAATGGCGTCAAGTCGACGCGAGAAATATAGTTTTTGGTGGGGAAAAAATACTCACCCTCTGTGAAATGAGGTGTTTGCAGACGTTCAGGGCTGTCTTAATTGGATTCTTATCCATCCGCACCGTCTTATCATAGTACGTAATTCCCCGTGGAACGTACTGTTGATCAAAATTGAGATGCTGCAAAGAGTCGAGATTCTTCATTAACGCCCTGCAATTTATGTTGATTAAGACAACAATTTCGTTGACCTTATGGGGGTGGGGGTGGAAAATTGCCCGTTGGGAGCAGAAGTTGCGCGGGGGGCACACGAAAGGGGACCGAAAAGTGGAAGTTGACTATGGAATAAGATGGAAATTAATACGATTTAGCCGGAATTCCTATGCAAATTGTTATAGCTTTCATTATTATTAATAACTTGAGAGGTGTTTTTGTGTGGGAAAAGACGAAGTGTTGATGCCTCTTCATGGTGGTTCGCCCATGAAATTTTCCAGCAGTTAAATTAACCCAATTTCTCTTCTTTTACACTTTTCAGCTCCTTCCGGAAGTGACGAAGTTTTTCTGAATAGATGATCAGAAAATCTTTCTTAATTCAACTATTGTGTATTTTTACCATATTTTCGAGTTGAGATTCTCTGTTTTTCAAGGAATTTTACGGGCGTTTAAGAAGAATCCGTCGATTTTAGGAGCTGAAATTCATCGGAAATTCTTTATCAAACAGTGAAAACTCGTGGAAATCTGCTAATTGTGGACATAATTAAAGATAATTCATTGTTAAATGATAGAATTAAAGGTCTAAGATATTTGTATGATGGAATATTGAGATTTACTGTCTAATTCTACAAGCAAATTGGCCAACTGAACGTGTATTCTTTGCATTTAAGCTGGTTCTGGACGTACTTCTACGGCAGATTGGCCATTCAGCAATGGTCAAGCTTCAAGAATGTCGGGGCGCATTTAGATACTAAATTTTTGAAAAGATTCTGGGCCAGAAAAGACAATTTTCATAGCTTTTCTGGCAAGTAAAAACCACTTAAAGCACATTTTAGACTTCGGACAAGCGATTCAGATATCAAGGAAGTTCAAAGACGTCTTCTGGACAAACTTCGATGGTCAATTCCTAATGTTTTCGTGTCTCTGGACAATAAGAATCAGCAATGAAGCCCGTCAGAGTGATTATGACGCTCAAAACGGGATGCAAACAATGCGATTCATCCTCAAATTATATTATTTATCATGATCTTGATTAAAAAAAAACCATTTGGAAATATTTCCCGGGAATTTACGAATTTTCAATCCTATTTTACAGTACAAAATAATTAATTCTAGGCAGAATTTTTTGCCTTCTTCTAATTTTAATAAAAAAAAGAGCAATAATTTTGCGTATAATTCAGATCAGTGACGAATTATGTTTTTATTGACGAAAATGTTTTTTAGACTTTAAATGAATATTTTTCATATCTTTTGAATTTTTTCACTTGAAAACATTAAGGAAAAGTTCAAAAAGAAAGTATGAAAAATTGATTTTTAGTACTATTTTCGATAAAATCGACTCGAAGACTAATAAAAAAAGACTTTGAAAAATAAAAATTTTCAGATTTTCCACTAATTTCACCATATTTTAGTCAAAAATTCCAAAAAATACTGATAAAATCAACTAAAATATTTACAAAATAAAAAAATACTTTGCAATATTTACACTTTAACGGACGATTTGAAGGCTTTTTAAGATAAATTTGGTAAATTTTGCCGCGATATTGAAGCGAATTCTTTAACTCGCTCTGCTGAGAAATTGCGTTTTTGGATTTTCATAGTTTTCGATTCACCCGTCGATATGATTTTTCCTCACTTTTTGAGGATTTGTGTATTAACACAGTATTGAAGTGGAAGAAAGAAAATCCCAGTTTCTGTAAGAGTGAAGATAAATCACGAATCTTCTGAATTTTATCTAGAAAATCAGAAGAACTCTTCCACCCCTTGATGAAAGACCGACGATGAGACGTTCTTTAAGACACCCAATCAATTCTCAATATGATTTTAATCCGCTTAACACTTGACTGCGCAAGAAGGTGGCAGACAAAAGTGATTCACATTCAATATGCATTTCAAAGGAATTCGCCTTGTAAGTCAATTATTCAGCAGTTTCAGTATGATTTCGGCATTCATTCTCGACATTGGCGGAAATCACAGTGAAACAATCTTGCAGGAAAGAAAGATGAGCAAATCATATTGCAGACATTGACTAACAGTATCACTTTCTCAAATCACTTCCGCTTCCACTCGAAGCCACTGGTTGATGCTATGAATGTATAATGTATGAATTTTACATAGAAAACACCCTGAAATGGGGTTGCGACTTCGTCTTCCTGTCAGCGATATTTACAGATATTACACAGAAAGTGTGGAGGAGAATCGAAAAAAAATATCAAAACACGATTAGAGGCATTTTCCACACTTGATAGGCATCGCAATTCTTCCGTGATTCCATTTCTACCCCATCTCGCTTCCTTTTCCCCCACTTTCCAGACTGGTTTTCCTCCCACACTCCGTGAGACATTTTTTTTTTCTCGGCCTCGGCCCCAGTGAGAAAAACCATAAAAGAGCCAATAATATTGTGTGTGCAGCCAATTTATTTTAATGCCATCAATCTCAATTCAAGCGAATTTCGTAGAAAACCCAGTCTAATAATATTACCACGGAAAAACAACCTCGAATGTTCAAAAGAAATTTCGCATAAAATTCCCGTTACGTTCACCACTCATCCAAAATTGCTTTAAACATCAGAGACACGTTGAATTCCAGGTTTATGTTTCTTATGTACAGAAGAAGTTAAATTCTGAATCGATTCCCAGTCAAATGCATGAATGTTAAACATCAAACATGTTAAAGTTTAACCGTCCTTGCTATTCTCGCTAAAACAGTGTTTTACTGTTTAACACCATAACACAATTAATAAAATTTCAATATCGACGGGTGAATGGAAAACTATGAAAAGTCGATTTATCATAGTTTTCTTCTCAATGTATTTTTGAAACGTTTTTTATTTATTCTTTCTGTACAAAGATTTTTAGATTTGTATGTTATAAGAAAATAACAAAAAAATCTTATTTATCTTAAAAGTACAAATAGAAAAAGTCATATTTTGCTTAATTAAAAATCGAATTTGTTTACGCCGTCAAATTTTTCCATGAAAAATGTCTCCAAAATTGCAGACAAACGCATGAAATGCCTTTTTAGAATCATCCCAAATGGTTTTTATGACTTTAAATGAATATTTCTTATATTTTTTTTAATTCTCTCACTTGAAATTTCAATAAATACCGATAAAATCAACTAAAATATTTACAAAATAATAAATTCAAAGTAATATTTGCACTTCAACGGACGATTTGAGGGTGTTTTGAGGGTTTTGAAGTAATTTTGGCAAATTTCGCAGCTGTTTTAAAATGGCGATTTTGACTTTTAACAGTTTTCGAGGCACCCATCGATATATAAGCAATAAATTCGTGATAAAAATAATTTATTGCAAATATCTTTCATGTTTATGCCTGAAAATTCAAGCCACAATCACAGATTGATTCATCATTGCAAGATATTTGCAGATTTGAATCTGTCATTCTGCTTTTTAACACATTTAACATGTGTGAATCAGAATTGTAAATAACACAAGTGGTGAAATTCTTCGCATAATCGTTACTTTAAGTCTTACATCTGTGACTCAAACTGGCAAAGAATGTTTTAAACTAATATAACACATGTTTAACATTCCTTGTTTGACGGAGAATCGCTCCTTGTGTTCATTTGACTGTAGATTTTCACTCAATATTATTTCCCACTGAAGAACTTGATAAAATCCACTCATTTTTTTCACTCCTTCTTGCATAACTTTTCTGTTTACAGAAATTTATAATGGCGACGATAAAATATCCTACTTAAATTTACGACATTTATTTTCTACTACATAAAATATTTCAAGTATTCGATAAGGTTAAGGATGGATAACACTCAATGTGGAATCAGAGAGAGAGAAGGAGAGTGAGATGCGTGGATTTTCCGCCGAAAATCACAACCCCACAAATCAAACGGAAAGAGATAAATTTTCCCACATTATATATCACATATAAGAGGTAAAAAAGCCTATGAATAATATTTGACATGTTAAAAAATGTTTTTCATACGCAAGATAAATCAATACTTAGTAAAAAAGATAGTAAAGACGAAATCCTCTATTCTCATCAGGGATGGAAATTTGGTGTGATTTTCTGTTATATCGGAATATCTTACGCTGTCGCGTTTATTTTTTTTCTTCTTCTTCTCCGTGTCATCACCCGCTTCTGCTTAATCTCGATTAATCCCTTGGTGTGTCGTGCGAGGCTTTAGGGATTCTCCACAATTCCTCATTACTGTTTGCAGATAAAACTTGCGTTCCACTTGTTTTCCCATCGCTGCTCCGCATCCCCACGGGCGGCTCATTTTCTACTGAATTTCTAATTATTTCCTAGACACCCCCTCGCTATCTCCCTTAGACGCGCGATGTGCCAAGTTGGGCGGTTTGGGTGGGTGGCGAAGGTGCTTCCCAAAAATGGCCCGCGCGACTCTCGCGGTGAGACGCAAAACCCAAACAGTAATGAAAGCGAGAAGCTGCGGCCTATTTCAGGAAAAGACACTCAATAAAGATCAGATTAACTACCGCATTTCAACTCGTAAACGATGGCCTCTCACCCACATTTCATCATTAAACTCCACAGAAATTGCTAATCAATGTTTAATGATGAAATTACACTGCTCTTTTACACGCCCCAGGATTTATGATTCGCACGAAACCCATCGAACTTTCCATGCTGTCAGCGGATTAACCCTTGCCGTAGCTCAGTGAGGAGCAAAGAAGAAGAAGGAAAAAAAACAGTCCGTGAATAATCGTGTGTCTTTTGCCATTTTTCAACAACCAAAAAAAAAAGAAAGAAGAAACACTCTGAGCATACTTTTTAAGATTGAAAAGCTTCGGAATTCCTTTTGATGCCACGCCTATCTTTTATAAAATAAGCATAAATTATTCATGCTTGCTAAGACTCTCCGTATATATGTACCTCGTGAGGAGGTGGTTGGGTGATTTCCTAAGAAGCCCCCTGAGGATGATAGAATTCAATGTGCGCTGCGTGTATAAGCACGACATCTTCAAATACACCAGCAGAAACACACCGAGCTCTGACGGATGGAATTGTGATTTTGAGGCGGGCAACTTTCCACAAATATGCTTCAACTGAAAACGCTTCTTTTGACCACATTCGCCACAAATTAAGGAAGACATTGAGCATTTGTTTGAAAGGGATTTGCGCGAAAGAAGTCCAGATCAATGCGCGGGATTAGTTGTTGAATTAGCTTCCAATTACTTTTTGGCATCAGTTCAGAATTTTTGTCTTGATTCACGTTGCAAAACATGAATTAAGAGTTGAATTTCACGTAGAATCGTTGCAACATTACAGATTTTGTATTTTTAATTAATAAAAGTTACGAATTTCGGTTGCAAGTTTACAGATTTTGTATTTTTAATTAATAAAAGTTACGAATTTCGGTTGCATCTTTACAGATTTTGTATTTTAATTCATAAAAGTTACGAATTTTGGTTGTAATTTTACAGATTTCGAATTCTAATTCATAAAAGCACCGAATTTCGGTTGCAAATTTACAGATTTTGTATTTTTAATTCATAAAAGTTACGAATTTCGGTTGCATCTTTACAGATTTTGTATTTTGATTCATAAAAGTTACGAATTTTGGTTGTAATTTTACAGATTTCGTATTCTAATTCATAAAAGCACCGAATTTTGGTTGCAAATTTACAGATTTTGTATTTTTAATTAATAAAAGTTACGAATTTCGGTTGCAACTTTACAGATTTCGTATTTTGATTCATAAAAGTTGCGAATTTGGGTTGCAACTTTAGCCTTTTATGAAATATACCAAACCTGCGCTCAGTTTTTGCCCATTTTCCTCCACGTGGAAGTAAGGATATGTTCTTCAGTGTTAGTGAAGCAGAATTTACTGTGCTCCCTTCCCAAATAAATATCAGGGAATTTCCAGGAGTTTTCGACCATTACCGAGGGATATTTTCAATGCGAAGAATGACTTTTGGGGGCATAATTATGAAATCTGTGACTATTTCTGATATTGGGAGTGTTTAAGATGGAATTCTCGAAGGATTCTGATGACCACAATGTCCGGGAAGATGTTTCTGCTGTGATTGTGGCAAATTCATCATGTAAAGAATAAGGATCTTGTTGTGGGAAGAAAAGGACTAAGCAAAGGGGAAGGAAAAAGAGGATTTGTAACAAAGTTCAGGTAAAAATGTGAGGTTAGGATGATCTCGTATCGCTTTTGTAAAGAAATTGTCTAATTTTATTGTCTTTTATGTACTTGTAAATGCTCTGGGAAGTCAATCAGTTACACATAACCTCAATTTTGTGTATTGGAATGCACACAAATGACCCGAAAAGTCCAATCAATCTGTACTAATTGACCTAAAAACATAATTATTGTCTTTTACTATGATTTTCACCTGAATTTTCCGGCTTCAAATATGAATTGGCTTCAGGTGTCAACGTTTGAAATTCCCTACTTTCTTCAGTTTTACGAATTCACATCTCTGGAAGCTTATTAAATATGTCATGAAATGAAAGTTGCAACGACTTCTTATACAGCATAGTTTAGAGAATATTCCATGAAAGAAATCTCTCTCTGTGCTTTCAACGAGAGCAACTCGAGAAGATTAAAATTTCTTATCATTGTGAGTTTAGATGAATTGAAGAACTTGATGATTGATTGATTTGTCTTGAGGAAATAAATGAAATGGTAAATATTTAAAGTACCATTTAGGAGACAAGGATGGAGGTTATTTCAGCCAATTTTCTCTTTCACTGGCATTTGAAAGGAAAACCTTGCGAATAATAAATTATGTGTACATAATAAGCGAGGAATCGAGAAAAAGAATAGGACACACTTTCGAGCTGGAAAAGTGAGTGAAGAAGATTGTTGTGAAAATAGTATAATATGTATTGTATTGCTTATATATGAAATTTATTAATGTGGATAAACCTTGCGTGAATTTTACTTAAGTATAATATCGCCAGCGCCCTTTGTCGCTCTTATCTCTGTTGTCGTTGTGAAAAAGCCGAAGAAAAGCATGGCACACTCCAGATGATTGTTCCCACGTTTTCCCAACTTATATTGCCCAATGAAAAGGCACACACAGATACATATCAGCACAGCTCCAACAATGACAAGATATTGTCATTGTAGGGTGGTTCAGACTGATTTCCCGCTTGCGTGGATAAAAATTCAAACTATCGCTTTCCTTTTAAACAAATATTCACTAAGAAAGAGAGATGAAAAATTCATAATCAATGATGTCAATTCAATATTTTGTCCAGTTTATCTACAATTTAACAATCTTATCACAAGTTTCGCTTAGATTACAAACTCCCTGTGATTGTGAGATAATTGATTTCCTCTCCTTCCATCCACAATCTACGAAGAATCTTTTCTTTTCACGTCCCACATTGAGCCAGAGAATGACTTGAAAAGGGAACTTTCAAGTCAAAAGTGAGTTATAATATATAGAAACTTTTGACTGGAAGAAATCTTTCAAGATGTGCGAGAGAAAATATTTCTCTAAGAGTATGTTAGGAAAAGTTTTAAAATTAAACTTCAATATTTAATTAACTGAATTCTTAAGTGTGATTTTGAAAAGTTCTCAAGCACAGTAGAAATGATTTATTTTTATAAAGTGAATAGAAAAGGAGAAAATCTCGATAAAAGGCACAGATGATAATTTTTTAAATTGATCAAATCAAGGGGAAATAGTATGCCTTAAGCCTGTACACCACTTTCAAACACTTCCAAATTTGCTTAACACTTAAAAACTTGAAATTTGTAGTCTGTTTCTACATTATTTCTCAAATTATAATGAATCTCTTGAGGTTTCATTCGATATTTTTATAAAAATCGACTTAAAACCGCTGTTTCTGAACATCTTTTCTGATCATAACCTCAAAATATCGCTAAAAGATCCTCAAAAACTCCGTTAGAAAGCTTTCTAGATTACAAAATCATCTCTTATGATTTGCAAATTATCTTAAAATTGCTGATTCACAGTCAAAATTGCTTAGAAAGTTGTCTAAACTGACATTTTTCAAGAGAAAATGACTATTTTTGAGGTTATGTTCAATCTTAGCACAATTTTCAGTGTTTCTAGGCATCAAAGGATAAAAAAGCACTGTCAATTGCTTGCAAATGCTTTATTTTGGCAAGGACTAGAAGAATTTATGTGTTAGAATGCAAATCATTCCCTAAATCTGTTCCTGATTTGTTACATAACCTAGAAAAAGGATTATTTTGCTTATTTCTTCGTGAAAATCGAAGGAAATCCAAAGAATCTAGATGATTTGTCGGTAAAAGAAGAGTTTAGGAAAGGAAAATTGTATGTTTTTCAACAATTCCATTTTTTAACTACTTCTTCTGAGTTGTACACCATTTTCTGACTGTATTATCTCCCCCTTGCCTCAAGTCTCTTATCTACTAATCAAGTCTTTCAACCTTGCATAGGAAATCTTCTCAGGGATCTCTTAATACTGTTTAGATGTTTTATGCTTAGTAAAGTCACGAAAATATATGAAAATCTGCAGGACTTTTGTCCTTAAGGAACCACAATATCATAAAAGCCTAATAAACCTTCTTTATAAACCGATTTCTTGGCATTTTAGCAATGTTTGTAAACTCGTTCTTCTTTAAAATCCTGGGCCTTTTGTGCTTGTTCACGGTTAATGATCATTTAATGACTTAAGTTCTTGAGCTAAAGACATGAAACTTGGAGGGATAATTAGTCACTAGTGAGGGTAAATTCCTGGAAAAAATCAGATCTCTAGCAAATCCCTGTTGCAAATGCCGTCACTGTATATAATCGCAATCCGTGAAGTGAGCGAAAGGATTCGCACGGCGAGAGTTGACGTAAGCCAGCAAAAGAGATTCTCTGTTCACATGCAAGTTGGCTGATGACTTTGATAATCCTTGTTAACAGCGCTTTGGGCGAATAATTTACTAAAATCATACACAATGTGTAATCCAGGTAAAGTATTTAATTTAGCCTCAGTGGTAGGAATTTCGGGTAAATCTATTTGGGCATTTCGTATGCACGTTGAGATATTTGTATTCGCGTATCAAAGGAAAAGGTATCTTATAATGTGTGTTGCTGAGGAGTTATTTTAGGACTTACCGCAATTGTTGTCGCAAAGTGTGTCTCACTGGCGTTACTACTCAAAACACCGCCGATGTTGTAATAGGTGGGATTTTCGCCGGGTGCGAGCTTCTGCAGAAACGCCTTGTCCAATTTCAATAGAATTATGAGGACTACTTTGACACACCACATTTTTTCCATCATTCTGCTTCTCTTATCTTTCTCTTATCTAGTACTTTTTTTTTCTTATGTCTCGAAGAAATTTAGTTAGCTTCTGAATTGATATTTCTTCACAACGAATCTCTCGTATATAAATTTTCCTTTGACATCCATTTCAATAGGGTTAATTTCTACCACCCAGTTTACACGAATGCTATTAATACACGGGTTTTACGATGTCGCCTTCCTCTCTCTCTCTATCTTTTTTGTATTATTTTCTACAATTTATATAAACTCTACATAAGCGCATCAATTAACGATTTTCCTCTGGTTGATGTTGAACAAATTTATGGAGTTAACACGAATCTAATTTGCTTCACTCAAACCGAGTTATTTTCTGCTAGTTTTCCTTTCTTCTTTACCTAAAACTTCTATATTTAGTGCTTTATATAATTTAAGGTTTTTTTTTCTTTTTGTCTGTATTAAAAGTTTTTCTTGTTTTAATTTGAAAATTTTTGTTTTTTTTCCTTAATATTTCTATCCAGGTATATCTTAACTCTTTGGCATAAGCTTTTCCTTTCATCAATTTAATTACTAAGGTTTTTTTCTCTCTACTTAGTTTCTTTTTCCAAGTATTGGTTGGGCTTGTGTGTGTTTTTTTTTTCTTTACTTTATAAGGTTTTATAAATGTTAACTTTTGTCTGACTTTCAATTCATTTACACGATCTTCGATCCAGTAGAGTCGGCAAAGAGCTCACATATCCGCGCTATGTTGCAATGGAATTGTGTCACTCCTCAAGAACTCCGCTGAGACTTTTTCTCTCATTTATAAGAAGTAATTAATACGAAATATCGCTTTCTCAAAATGTTACATACTGAAGTTTCAGTAAAAAATTTGCCAACAGGATGGTTAACATTTGCATTGTGCCTTCGTTCGCTGCACAATTTCCACCAGTGTTTGGTGGAATTTTCCCCTTCTCGCGCTCAGTGTCCCAATTTCTGCTGACAGAAGCACTCCTCCGGTGACTGATGATGCTGCCTGAAATTTAATTGGAGAGAGCAAACTTTTAATAATGAGCGAGATATTGAAAAACTGTGCTGGAAATATAAATTAATCTAATTTTGTAGAAAGTTGCGCGAATACAGTGGCGAAAATTAGTTTAAGACACCTTAGAAATTAAGGGTAATTTTACCAGGAAGTCAAAAAATAATCAGAATTTTATGATCGTTTTATAAGAACAGCGAAGAATATGTCTATTTTGCTCTAAATCCACGTTATAACCCAAGTTATAACCTCAAAACTAACTTAGATAATTATATTTAATCTTGAATTTCGAATGTCTAGAAGACACCCAGTAAAAACAGCCACGATGGAAAATCACGGGATTCCTTTGCAGAAAACCCTCGTGGGATTCCAGCAGGTTTTTATACACAAATTTGTATGGAGCCTTTCCGCGGTTATCCGTCGATTTTTTAATGGGGATTCCTGCAGGGAAGTCAATGGTTTTTCCACACATATTAAGCCCGTATAAGAAACTTCTTAGGCCTCTTTTCAATGGTTTTTCCAATGGAATATCCATTAAAGTTCCCACAACGTCGAAAAGGACCCAAAACGATGGATTTTCAGTGGACTTTCCTGCGGGATTCCTGCGCGAAAGTCCATTAAAAATTCTTCAAAAAGTGACCTGTGAATATGGCGCGCTTCGGATTAATTTTACGAGGTGGCGCTGTGATTCACAAAGTGATCGGATGATGACATTTGGGGGAACTTCACAACAATATAAATAACACTTGAAATTTCACCAAGACATTAATTCAAGCACGCAAATAAGTCCTTTTTCACGCTTATTATAAGAAAGAACTTTGTGCAAGGATGCTTCCACGGTACAGGATGAATAGAAAGGGGGGAAAAGTAGTTTCCCCGCCGGAAATACGCCGATTTTTGGAAAAGTTGTTGGAAAATACTTTTTACAAAATATATTTTTATTGGCGAAATTCTCATTGCTTGTCAAGGATATCAATATAAAATCATCGAAAAACTACAAATATGTTCATTCAAGAGCCCTATTTCCTCAATATTGAGTATAAAATGTGTAACTTTTCCCCACCCACTTTTGACAGCTGCCATTTTGAAAGAAAATCTCCGAATTACATCATAAACGCGCCATGATTTGGACTTTTCAACATACTTTTTGTGTGTTTTTGCTGCTGTTTAACGCTCTTGTTCCATGTCAGGTTGATTGTTTAAGAACAATTATGTATAGTTGTGAAAATTATAGCATTTTGCTCTTTAGAAAGTGTGATTTTTAGTCATTTTCCTATTATAATGTCCAGAAAATCATTCCAGGAAAATTAACCTAAATTCCTTAGATGTCCTAATCTAATTTACGCTACTGTAATACGTGATGAAGTATATGAAAAGAAAAATATGCGTAGAATCTTGATAAGAGATTGGAAATAACTCTAAGGCTTCTGTTAGATTTCGTGGCGCTCTGTCTTAAAGTTTTTCTCCTCATTCTCTCATAATATATGCTTGAATATAATGTGATATAAGTTACCTTACTTGCTAACAACAATCAATAATAATTTCACAGCCTGCTCAGGATGCCACATGTCTTAATCATTTAGCGATAACATTAAATGATGTTCCAACCGAAAGTCATCGGAGTAATTTTCTCTTCTCTTTGGCGATTTCTTTGATCGATGAAACGTGCCAATTATTACATTAATTCGTCATTGAACTTGAACAAACACACAGCTGTGGAAGCCGCACAAGAGCTGCTAATTGATCTCAAATAGTGGATTGAAAAACCACATCAAAACCCCACATGAAGATGAGCTTAGAGACAGATTGCAAGGCATTCGACTAATGACACAACTAATTATCACTCAAAGAAACTCTTCAGTACAAGTCATGTTACATTGTATATTTAACATAAAAATAACAGGATAATTATAAATACTTTTCAGATGTTCCTAAAAATATATACAGCAAATTTCAGCGTTGGAGAACTTTGAGCTTTCCCTCGAGCGTTCAAGTTCAAACATTCACCTTTCGCCAATAAATACACACTTCACCTTGAGGCGAATTCTCAGTAATTTTTGATTGATCGAAAAATCAATAGCTTGAGACCGTTGAGACCACATTTTCCCAGCCGCAAATTCTACACCATACAGAGACATACATATGTGATGTGGCAGAGTTCTATTGGACAGATAAATTTTCATCACAAGTGCAACCGCACAGGATTTTGAACTCTCACTTGATGGCTTCACGGCAACACACTGTTGGATGCATTAAATGTGCAGACACACACTCTATCTATACACGTAATTGTTATACAATGGCAGCAAGAGTGCGATTAAATGAAGAGAAATTGTAGAGATTTCGCATGAAAGATCAGTGAAAGTTTTCTTAATATAGTCATTATCGTCTTGTTCTGTTCAAGGGGAGGATAATTTGTCTAAAACACTTTCAAGTTTCCAACACTTCCGCAGTGTCCAACAAAAATCTCAATATCATTCACCTATTTCTTCCATTTATGAGAAAAGATCACAAAAAAAAACTTATACTCACATAATCTTTTGTAGATTATGAGGAGGAAAATCTATTTTTCAGTGTTAAGAATCTTCCAAGAAGCTTATTTTGCATGGAAATCAATGAGATCGTGGAGATCAATGACGTTCAAGTAAAATTTTGGAAATTTTGCCTTTGCAATACAATTTTCTTTGCAATATTTTATCAAATTAGAGCCTTAAATCCTATCCGAATCGCTAAAATAAATAACAAAAGGATTTTTACGACCCTTTTTAGTGCACAATCATCCGAAGAAAAGGACATAAGCTGATCGTTTCTGTTCCTAAACAAGTATTCTTGATTAATATGATTCAACTTGCGTGGTTTTTCATCGGTTTATATTTCAACATCAAACTCCGTTAGCGACTTAAAGTCTCTCAGACTTAAGGCCTTAAACACACTCTTCGAGATTCTTTATGTTGTTTCAGTCCCAGTAATAATATTTGTAAAGTATTGTGGAACAGATCAGCCGACGATGCAGGACTTTTCTGTCGTAAGTTTTTTCCCGCTGAGGCTGTTATGACGGCGGCAGTCGCCACTCGAACACTTAACTCTGTAGTAAATTGTAAAAAGCCTTCAGTGTAATAAATATTCTTATTCCTTTATTGGCTGTCTATTGAATGTGAGAAATCACTTCAAAGAGTTGAAATTAATATAAAAATTTAATATAAATCATTGACGCAAGATTTGCTTCCTGGTCCGGAAAAACCGGAAAAGCCAGAATCAAAATCTCTGCAGCATTAAATCCGCTCGTCAATAGTAATTATCTTACATCCTATTAGAAATACAGACCAGGCTTTGTTATAGACAAAAATACAATCATTTTGTGTAGAGACATTAAAGATTCTTGTGTTTAAAAGCATTGAGAGGTAAAAAATAAATATTTTCTGGTGTTTATTATCTTTTATTAGGCTGAAATCCATGAAAAATGGGATAAATTTCACAAATTTGTGAAATTAAATTGAATTTCAGGACACTTTCACTGACCAACACTTACCAATCACTTCCGAAAAAGTGTACACCACTTCTAACCATATAATCTTCTCTTGATTTTGCTTGCAAATACCTTCTAAAGTGGAAGAATTCAGTAGAATAATGCGAAATGTGTTGAATATTGGACAAGAAATGATTTTCTTGCTGACAAATGTGATGAACAAACAACGCTTCTTATATAACACCTTGCAAGCTTATTTAATTTAACAGAGTGCATTTTCGCCAGCAAATTGAATTTATCGCAAGTATGCTTAATAGGGAAAATTTCTGATAAGAGTTGAGCTGAATTTTCTAAAAAGTCCGACAAAGATTTTCAACCACCTCCAATGCAGGCAGATGAAATTGTCTGATTATCTTTTCGCTTACCCGGAAGAATCCATTCCACGAGGAAATGGCAGCGGACAGAATGGTGCCGACGGTGCACTTATATGTAATCGCTTATGTACTTTCGCCTCTTTGAAATCCAAATCACTGTGTGCGATTCATGTGGAGAACGGGTAATAAAAGGTCAGCCATGTATTCCTCATACACTTCTCTCAATTTATCGTCGTCTCCCCTTCAGTGAAAATCAATGAATTCCCCCCAAATACACCCTTGTCTGTGCGGGGGAAGTTATTTAAGAGGAGCACAACACAAGGGAGTGAATAAGCTAAGACATGCGATGCCGGAAATGTCTCATATTCATAAATATTACAACACGGATCACGAAAAGAATGCCGTCAATCTGCGTTCTTCATCTAATTAATATTATTGGAGCCCTTTCACGAAGCTTTCCATCTCGCTTTCCACCCTTTCTTTTTCAAGAGCTAATAATTGATGAATTATTGAGGCTTCACTGATTTTCGGAGAAAAGTTTATTCCCTGCTTTGCATAACGACGAGTGAATGGAAAACTATGAAAAGTCAAAATTGCTATTTTTAACTCACTGAATTTTAATTCAAACACTCGATAATGGTTTGAAAATATGTAAATTATAGTTCAATAATAATTATTTTGTGAATATTTCAGTTGATTTTATTGGTATTTATTGGAATTTTGACTAAAATATGGCAAAGTTATTTGATAAACAAAAAATATAAGTGTTCAAAAGTCGATTTTAAATGGATTTTGAATACATTTAATCCAAGAAAGTTGCAAGAAATCAATTTTTAAAAATTTTCATTAATTTTCTGAAAGTTCTGTGTTGGAAAAATTAAATAATTTTCTATAATTTCTCATTTTAAGTCTTTTAAAAACAAACACTTGAAAAAAATCCTTCAAATCTGATATTAAAGTGTTAATAAAGAAGCATTTTTTGCAAAATATTGCAATTTTAGAAAGTATTCCTTTGGAAAAATGAACAGCGTAAATTATGAGAAGTTGCTTTTTCATAGTTTACACCGCAAATTTCAATTTTTTTTTAGTATGTTCACATACAAAAGTTATAGCCTAAAATACGTAGATTATGAAAAATAAATTTTTCACAGTTT